CCCGTTTGGAAAGCCAATGTCGGGTTTTATCAGATCTCTATGCCCGTTGTTGTATTACAAAGACATGGCATCCAAATTGACCAATCAACAGCTTAGTCCAGATTTTGGAATGGAATGACATCATGTCCATCGACTCCCATTGGCTGGAACGTAGGGTCGTATAAATTTGCATGCTTAGATACATATCAGACGTTGGACTGGAGACAGAGAGGGCTCCGTTGGACAACGGGTGATACTCAGACTAAGAGAACAGTTGATAACTAACAAATTGTAACAATAAAAAGATCCCGAAGGATAAGCATGGTATTTTTAATCTCACCCATTGAGAGAAGCAAACATCTTTTCGTAGTAGGAATCCGGCTGGTCGATGAGAAGAGGGACCACCCTCGCTCCGGCTGACTCCACAAACTTAACGTAGGAGGCAGCAATGTACGCATCACCGTACTTCTTGGACGGAGTGCTCTGAGACAAAACACCTGAGGGAAGCGGAAGAAATGTAGAACAAATATAAACAACTCAGCGTGCAGAGAGAAACAAAAAATTATACAAATAAAAAGGGAATAAATGTGTGCTTGGCCAGTTTTAAAACACTCTGTTTAAGACAGGTTGGATTCTGGATGGTGATGATTACCCGAGCCGAAGGCGAGGGTAATTATTAACATCCAGACTCCAACAGGTCTTTAAATACAAAGTGTTTAATACCACCCAAGTACATATTTATTTCCACTCATTTATTCCTATTCATAAATGGGTTTCAGGTATCTATAATGCTTCGGTTGGTTTGGCCCACTGACCTCTATATAAAGACTGGATAGCGGATAAAGAGCCGCACAATGAATGAATTTGATGCCATATTGGTGAGACCGGTGAGACCGGCTGGTAATCTACAAAGGACAAGTTGCCGTCTTTATAGCATCATGGTTACTTTTGTAACATTGCGGTTCACTTGATTTATATATTGACCACCACCACTGACCATGATTTACAATTTTTCCAACGTCGTGGTTTACTTTTTTTTAAATGCCGCAGTTCCTTTTTCGGCGTTTTGGAAATAATAATCACTGCGGAAAAGTGTCCTTTTTAGAACATCATAATACGTGTACGTGACCAAAATGCGCGTCAACTCTTGATACAGCGCGCTGTATACGCGTAGAACGTTCGCATTATACGCGGCCATCTTCGTGAGACCGGGGGCGAATTGGTCAATATGCAAAGTCTACTGTGTGACTGGTGTATGGATATCCGCTATCCAGTCTTTATATAGAGATCAGTGGTTTGGCCTGGTGAACCGACCACAGACACGATGTTTATAGTGCATATCGCGGGCGGCGTCAGACGGGCCAATCCCAGACCAAAAGAGGAAAGATTCCTATCTGGCCATGTCACCCTGTGCACAAATCCTATGAGACTGGCCTGAAATTTTTAAAGTGTTTATCAGTAAATACTTCAATATTTTCCTTTCTAATTTTGACTTTTTAGGACATATTATCAGTTTTTGATGGTTGATAGGTCACTGAAGGGAAAAATTAGTGATGGCCAGATATGGGAATCTTTCCCCAAAAGACTCTGACGTCTCACCAACAAGGCTTCGCGTGCAACGACGTGCACGTCAAAACGTTAAAACTCAAACTGTAAATTCAGTACGGAAATGGGATCGTTTTCATCATTTTTTTGCACCATCAGGATCGATTCAACCATTTTTTCTTTTTAGTGAAATAAGCGTAAGTATGTGTCAAGAATTACTGGGCATAGTCTTGGGGTAGAAATATGATAGTGGATATATTGCCGGCGGTAATCCTGGCAAGCTAACGTTTACTAAAGGTTTGCCGGCGGCAATCCCTATCAACAGAGGATGCTGTACTCTCTAAGATAGGGCTGAATTATAAGATATATTAAATTACCACCAACGGTTGTGTAGCACCTGTGGTCTAGGTGATAAGAGCGAGGATGCGGATCTCATGAGCGGGAAGACCCGGGTTCGATCCCTGCTGGCGACATTTTTAAGGGTTTTTTCCCCCCATCCCCCCAAAATAAGAATATTCTTCTTTTTATTATTTTAACATGTCTCAAACATTTTATTGCAGAATCAAGTCCAAAAATTGTAAAATGGGAAATCAAGTCCAAAATTGTAAAATGGTCTGATTCCCATCTAATTGTGCTTGTGAATACGAAGTTACAACGATAATGTTGGCATGGAGCCAGACTAAAATTTGTCACCAGAAAATGTGTAGGGCCTAAGTACAAAAAAAAAAACAGCTACTGCGCATGTTCAGCATGTTCAGCACATATCCGGAAAGCTAACGTTTACTAAAAGTTTGCCGTCTCCAGCTAAATTATCCTCTGCCTAAAAATATACAGCGGCCGCTCCGAAGTACCAAAGCTAAACTTTACTTTTTTAAATTTCGGTTGTTGATTGTGATATTATTTGTAGAGTATACAGCTTGTTTGCGTTGATAACAATGATATGACTACTTATGGGTCTTAAGTGTAAGACCCATAGTTCTAGGGGGCTAACTATGCATGGGGCTACCCCCCCCCCCCCCCCCCCCCCACCACCACTGTGACAGAGTCTCAGATACAAAATTGCATCAGAAAAAAACATGAAATAGCCTACACCCCCTTCCCTCCCCACCTGATCATTCCTGCCGCATTCTTACCAATAACCGGACTGTCATTTAACGCATCTGAAGACACAACACACAATATCAAGCTCAGAAACAAGGTGCTCTTGAACGCCATGATGAACGTCTTCTCAACTTAAGTTTATTCGGATGAATGAGTCTGCATTTTCCACACAGCTGTCATGTCATTGACAAAACTTCACGTGAGTATCCGAAGAGCGCCCTCAATAGTTCAGATTTTGTCAAAAGAACTTTTTGTTACATAATACTGTATCACCTGTTGTATCTTCACCTCCAAAAAAATCAATGTCTTTTAAATTGGTTTAAATCTTTTTATGAACAAAACAGCAAGATCTGTTTTAAGCTCTGGCAAGACCTTTTAAATGTCACTTGGTGATCAGTTGGTCGGTCGGTCTGTCCTTCTATCTGTCTGTCCCCGAAACTTGACCAAAAATATTTGACAAAAAATTGACCAAATGCCATGCCGTCGTCAATAAATGCACTCTTGATGAAAGTTATCAGAAAACAGGCTTTGTCTTAATCGATGCACATGCGCGTATATTTTGCTTATATGTCTGTGCCCGGAAAATAGACCAAGAACGACACCCTAAGTGTCCCATAAAATGTAACTACCCAACTTAAAATTAAATAACAAACGCACACAAAAGAAAATAAATACTTAACAAACATTGTTTGTAACAATTCATAAAGTTGTTTATGAAAGTTTTGTAAATGGAGACAAGATAATGTGCAGTAATGTTATAGTCATATTGTTTATAGCGCGCTATTTTTATAGGAAACTTAGGGTCTTATTTTGGTCAATTTTCAGCGCGTGATTTTTTGCGTGGGACGCCGGCCTGGGCTTGTACGCACAATCATTTCATGCAAGACTTTCAGGAAAGGCGGCCAGAGCGTATTGTGCACCTGCACTAGTTTTTTAAATTAAATATTAAAAAAAAATACTCGTTCACTTTTCAATCTACCACAAATGTTTTCCCCCCAAAAGGTTTACAAGTAAAAACCAATCAAAAATTAAAAGAATTGATTCTCAACTTCAACTTTTATTATAATGCATTGCACTTTTCACAAGTAACAATTACCTCTAGATTAAGTTTATTTTACAATAATAGAGAAACCAATACAAGCGTTTTCTTGCTTATTGGCGTGAGATACATGTAGGAACGGTCCAATATTTTGTTGTTGTTTAATAACCCGAGCAAAAATGACAGAGAAACTCAAAAAATGAGTCTTAGATGTTATGTAGGTAAAAGTATTTCTACAAAATCTGGTCCCTTTTAAGGTTGAAAGTTCACAATCTTCACTTATAGGCATGCACAATACTACCGATGAGTCCGTATTTTATAATCCTAAAGTCACACTACACCGGCACCACTGCGTTCTGCGCCACATCAGGCAGTACGCGCCACATCCTCGCCAATCTCCAAATAAGGAGATTGTTAGTACTACTGGCGAGAGGCACATACCATAAACATAGCTACAGGGGTGTTTCACAAAACACGAAGTATAATTGTTGAACAAAATCGTTTGAAATTTTGACTCTTTGACCGAAAGGTATTTATGAATGGGAATAAATATGTGCTTGGCTGGTATTAAACTGGCCGATATTGAAAAAGTATGTTTCAAATCGGCTTGGGACCTTTTTGCCGATAATGTCTGCATCCAGGCCCCAAGCCGGCTTAAAACATATTTGTTTAAAACTGGCCAAGCACATATTCATTCCCTTAATATAATTTCCTTTAAAGAAATGAAAGAACTAACACTCCATCATTATGAAAACACGTGGTCAAAAATAAAATCCCTTGATATTCAAGTGGTTATAGTGCCTTGAAAGTTCCCCAACTCATCAATGCAAAATCGATTTCCAACTTATTTATCAGAAAGGGGGCCGGCTAATTTATCTTTGGGACTTCCTCCAGCAGTCTCCTGAGGATGAACAGAACCAACTGTTTGAAACATCACGCTCCATTCTCACCATCGTTCTTTTCAGAACCCCCACTTTCTCATGAAAGATATTTTTCAGGGTTAATATTAATACCAGAGTCTTACATAGCGCACATATCTATCAACAATGTAGGTACTCAAGGCGCTGGAAATTATGTCTATTTTTAAAGACAGGTAAATGAAGTTTATGAGAAATATGAGACCCATTGTGTAGCACCTTATAAGGGTTTACAAGGTGCTGCAGCGCATATTGCAGCCACTGCCAGAAACACCGGGGCAAACCCTTTCTCTTATAGCGATAAGTGTTGCTGCATTACACAACACATGGGACCTGCGGCTTTCCGTCCAATCCAAACGATGAACTGATAATGGTAAAGTGCCTTGCTCAAGAGCACAAGCACCATGTTCTCTGTCAGGATTTGAACCCACGTACCACGGCACACAAGTCAATCGCAAACACCGTAACCATTGGACCACAGGTGTACCAACAAACTCATGCGTGGATATTTAAATGAATTTGACCCCTGGGTCACAGGTCAGTCAGCCAATGACGTGCTGGCTAGTGTCCGACTCCATATCTGCCGTTAGAAATTTTGAGGTTGTATTCGTACCGCTGTCACCTGCTCTGTTTCTGCTCCTCAAAATGACAACCCGTGTTGGCACCAACTCGGACAGTTTCATGAATCGGAGATTCGTCTGCATCTTGGGAGATTCCACTTTCATCAAGGGGTTGCCACAGTGGATCCACCTCTGTCACAAATGGATCTGGGGCCACAACATCCACGGTCTCCCCTTTCGCAGGAATGGTGAGTCTGTGTGAGTGTAGCATCATGCGGTACGGCTTGACATCCCGCCGGTAACTGTACGTGTAATCGCCGACGATCGGGTGGCCGAGACCCAAGCAGTGCACACGCAGTTGATGCCTCCTTCCTATCAACGTCAAGAAATTGAATGGAAGAACTGAGAGCTTAGCTTGCAACATCACAGCAACATGTACCAAAATGGTGAAAATTCGCAATGTTTTGTGATGAGGAGAGAACTAAAATGGAGAAATTTAATCTAAAAAAACTGAGTTAAAGGTAATATACAACATTTGCTTTTGCTGTAATTTTCAGAAATGGATGGATTTGGGGGTTAGTATTTTGTGGCAAATGTTGTTACACTGACCTGTTTAACGTTTTGTGTTCATAAATGCTGGAAAAACCAAGAACAACAAAAATGCTGTTCTTGTACTGTGGTTCCCTGACCCTACTTCAGATGAAACAGAGCAATTTATAGACATCAGGGAATTGTTTGGTTAGGGAAGTAGACTACGGTAGCTGGCTTGCACCCGTTCACATATGAGTAACCGATTGCAAACAAAATGTGGACTGATAAAATTTGGTAAATTGGAGGCAGTATTCGGAAAAATAAGTCATTTTTTTCCAAGGATGGTCGGCTGACCATCGTCGGAAATTAATACCAAACTTCCACTTTTCTTGAAAATGACAGCACACCAGGTGCCATGATGTCACAGGATGCTTTAGACTGTCATTCACTAACATTCCAGTAAGGTATTGCATACAAATTTTGGTAGTTTTGTTTTGTGATGCTTGCAAATGTTGTAAATTACCTTTAAAGCAGTTGGCTTGATATTGCTTTGTGATTGACTTGTAATAAGCTGATAACTCTACATTGGACCCATTTTCTATACCTGTCTGTGGTTTGAGCAGCACCTTGCTCGCTGGTTGCCCATCATACAGGCCCCGCTGTACAACATACAAGTCAGTGACTGCAGATAGTACTCTGACATCGTCTGATAAGTGGTCTGGGCTGGAGTCATCTACCGTGCACATCATATGCGTGTAGCCCTCCTGGGGATTGGCGTAGACTGGCTTGTCGATCCGGAGGAAGTCCTCTCGAACATGACCTCTCAACTTTCATCCCAAGAGAACAGAAAGTACATTGTAGTAAGCCATTTGCGAGTGACCTATACCCTTTGGGATTTAAATTTGAAAAACGTCTGGTACACTGACTTGCTCAGAATGCTTGGCACCTTTTAACTTTGAATTCTCCAGACCAAAGAAACTACTGCTGATCACGTGATACGGGGCAAGCTCTTGCATAGTTACGTAAGAGACGCTCAGCACCTATACATTATTCACAATGGGTGAGAATGGCACAAAGACACCAGACCATGCTGGAGCTGGGGGTTGCTAGCGTAAGGCTTGCCCCGAATCATGTGATATACTAACAGTCTCTTTGGTCGGGAGAATGCAAAGCATTGGATTAATGTCAGCGTTCCAGATTTTATTCAAACTCATTTGATACCGACCAAAGCCCCAGGCTGATGGCCTATATTTCATGGTCAGCTGAAAATTCAAACTCACCAAAGCATAGTAACACTTGGTGACTTGACGCTTCTTGAACTTATTCACAGCATCGGCCGATGCCTTCTTGTTCAATGCGACGCACAATGCTCCACTGGTGGAGTAGTCTATACGGTGAACAAACCTGGAAGAAAAATAAATGAAGTAGTAGATACAATGCTAACAAGCGCTGAATGTTACAAGTATGGCTTCAAGTTTAAAGGAAGAGTAGATCATTTGCAGCTATCCAAAAGTGACAAAATTATTGTTGAAAAGCTTACTTGGTTTAATTAAAGACAGTAATGGCACTAAACTCCCTGTGAAATTAGTCTTTCTGGCATGCTGTCATTTTGAAGAAAACAATAAAAGAAGGCCATTTCCATAGATCCGTCAAGTGACACGTTTTTGGAAATATCCATAAGTCGTTGGTTTGTAATTCGGCAAATCCGTAAATCGTCAGTTCAGTCCAGGACATCCCATAGCTGCAATCCGCTGAATGAGAATGTGTCATATGGCAACTTTTGAATTGAAATCAAGATACTAGAATATTTTCTCAGAACGTACAGCATTCACGGAGCTAAAACTTCATCAAGTTGGTTGTTAAGCACCCGTCTTTAGATTTTGCGCACTTTTGTTGCTTCAAATGAAAAAAAATGCACAAATGACAATGATCTACCCTACCTTTAAAGATATAGTCCACCATTTGTAATTTGTGCATTTTGTTCGTTTGAAGCAACAAAAGTGTTCAAAATCTAATGAAGGATACTGAACAACTAACCTGATGAAGTTTCAGCTCAGCTTCAGCTGTATATTCCGAGAAAAACAGCATTCTAGGATCTCAATTTCAAATCAAAAGTTGCTGAATTATGTTTTGAATTGGTTTGAATTGCAGCCATACGCGATGTCGCGCACTGATCCGACGAATTATAGCAACCGCGCGCGCCTGTGCGTCGTGCCAATGCTTGCGCGTGCTGCGCCGAATAACAAAACGAACAACTAATTTAATTTTTCCTACGGTGCGTCTTAAGACGCACCGTTGGAAAGGCCTTCTTTCGTTGATTACTTCAAAATGATAACTTGCCAGAAAGATTAATTTCACAGGGAGTTTAGTCCACTTACTATCTTTCAACCAAGTATGTTTTTCAACAATAATACGCCAGTTACTTTTTCGGATGGCTGCAAATGATGGACTATAGCTTTAAACACAAAGTTACAAACTTGGACACAATTTGTTTGTAATGACATTGTCAGAAAAGTAGTTGTTCCCACCTAAATTGATGAGCGACGCTTGCATCCACCAACTCCGGAAACCGATGAGCAAGCTGCGTTGCCACGGTGATCTTGTCACTGCTATCATCGCTATTGATCTTGACATCATAATGCTTATTCACGACAATGAAGTTGGAGCTCTTGTACAGGATATCCAGATTTTCCATCGTTGCGGGCCTGTGCCGTCCAAAGACGCCTCTACGAAGCCAGGCGTGTAACCAATGTAGGTTGACTTGAATTCGCTGCAGGTATCTTGACATCTGGCAGTGTAGGTGCATGCATCATCATTAACACAACTGAAAGTAAAAAAAAAAATAAGATTCAAAAGGTGTTAAGAATTACTATCCTGATTCCACTTTACAAATATATTTAAAACTTTGTTTCTATGATAACAATCTTTCAATTGAACACTTCAATAAGAAGAAGTGTTGTGACAATTTCCCTAAGACTTTTTTTTGGGGGGGGGGGTGGGAAATAATCAAGTACCAAAAACATTCACTGCACATGTTCAGTGAATGCCCGTACAACTTAAGGGCGAAAAAATTGGAAACTGGTTCATGGTTAGACCGATTAACTTGGACTTTACTTATCAACAATGGGACATGGTCTGGGGATAGTAGGGTCCAAGCTGCCTGGCCGCCTTCATGTGACACCATAGAAACAACCCAGCAAAACATCAGATTTCACCCTCTAAACGGCCACAAAATTACCAGATATGCCACCCGAGGTTCAAGTACAGATTGCTGATAAAGATCGAGGTACTAAGATTTACTAAGATCTGAATGAAAAGCAAAATTTACCGTTTAACATTTTTACCACCATCTTACACCTAGAATTTTATTTGTATCTAAGGTGTCATAACTTTACAAATTACAGTGGCCGTTTTGAGGGAGAAATCTAATGTTTTTGTTGGGTCGTTCTTTTGTGTCACACGATGACGGCAATGCAGCTTGGCACTACTTTCGCCAGATGCAGGCCATATTGTCCCAATGATAAAAAATGCGATAAGTTACTTATTAATATTAGCAGGGAAAATATTTTGAAGTAAGAAAACACTTAACATTTTTCAGACCATTCTCTCATACTCATGGTTTGTGCACAGGGTGACAAAGTGATGGCCAGATATGGGAATCTTTCCGGAACATTTTTTCCTTTCTCATTCCAAACTAGTCCGAGTAACTTGGACCCAACTTATCGCCTTTTTAAAAATTTGGACATGGTCTGGCGATAGTAGGGTCCAAGCCCATTCCGAGACCTAGACAACATAGTCACTGACAGTCCCAAAAACCAACATTTTCCAACAAAAAACATCAGATTTCACCTTCAAAACGGCCTCCAAATTACTAGATATGTCACCTGAGGTACAAGTAGACATAGATGGTTAAGATGGTTGTACTTAAGTTTACTTACGATCCGGAAAAAAAGTGAAATTTTCCGTTCATTTCGGAGAGCTCCCCTCGCGATCTTGAACACGTTAAATTTGCGATCGTGTTTAAAGTTTGAACGACGCGATTTCTTCTACATGCCCAGCGTACATTCGATGGTCCCCGTATCCCGAGTGCGATTCCGTTACCGAGCGCGCGCGATGCATCGATTATGATAATGAGTAGACTGGATCACGTTTGTAAACACATGTGCATTTCAAACGATAATAGGGAGTCGGGAACTAGCGCAGCTTTTATAGCGGGTACCAGTTCAAGCTGGTTCCCGATTCCCTTTTACAGTTCGAAATGCACATGTATGTGTTTACAAACGTGACTCATTATCATAATCGATGCATCGCGCGCGCTCGGTAACGGATTCGCATACGGGATACGGGGACCATCGAATGTACACTGGGCATGTAGAAGAGATCGCGTCGTTCAAACTTTAAACACGATCGCAAATTTAACGTGTTCAAGATCGCGAGGGGAGCTCTCCGAAATGAACGGAAAATTTCACTTTTTTTCCGGATCGTAAGTAAACTTAAGTACAACCATCTTAATCATCCATGTCTACTTGTACCTCAGGTGACATATCTAGTAATTTGGAGGCCATTTTGAAGGTGAAATCTGATGTTTTTTGTTGGAAAATGTTGGTTTTTGGGACTGTCAGTGACTATGTTGTCTAGGTCTCGGAATGGGCTTGGACCCTACTATCGCCAGACCATGTCCAAATTTTTAAAAAGGCGATAAGTTGGGTCCAAGTTACTCGGACTAATTCCAAACAGAGGTTCAGTGAGTGCATGGACTTAATAATAGTCATTTTGTTGATAGCGCCCTCTATCGTCGTGGCGGTTTGAATGCGCTGAGCGCTTGCCAAGGCGCCTAAAAAAAGAGTCTAACCGTTAAAATCCCCACAAAACTAGGTCCCAAACAGTAAACTACACACTCGCCCACAACATAACAGCATTTCGATTACAGCTGTAGTTTAGTGAATCAAAGTCCTCGTTAAGACTATCAATTTCAACCAACAATCACTCACCCACATGACGGTCACGTCGGTTCCATGGGCGCTGCCATGTTTGTTGCTCCATTTACCCAGCAGAGGGCGCTGTGTCGAATTTTGGTTGGTGTACTTTACGCGGTCGTTTGCATTGTGTTGATCAAGTAAAGGATACCAACTATTTATTTTTGTGACTTTCGCGGGAATTTCAGGAAGTGCGAGATCGAGAATCAGGACATGCAGGAAGAAGGAGAGAACTTAAACATGGAAGGGGAGGGATAAAGATCAAGTATTGCCATTGATTACTCTACTCTTTCTCTACTGCCAGAACCTATCAGTATCGGAAGGTTTATTTGGTGTGTGTGTCACGGTTTTCACAGTTATCATGAATTCAATCTGCCGATCTTATTGTGTGCGCACAAACATGACAAATATGACATTGACACTGACAGTATGACAGTAAGTTTGGTGTGGAAACTGTGAATTAACGTTAGTGTTTCAGTGTTCTTCAGCCTTACCAGTCAAAACCAGATACTTATGAATTAGGAACGGCAAGAATTTCTACGAACTAACGCCAATCATGGAGGAGGACTTTGAGGATCGATATGCTGATGAGCTGGATGCGATGAGAGAAATGGAGATGGATTTTGAAGGTAGGCAGGGAAGGTTCAGGTGTAAAGCAGTGTTTATTGTTGCGGGGTGATGAATAATTTGTCACTTTTTGTATTTTAAATCCTGTACTTAATGTAACTGTCATGACTGTTAATTGATTTTTTTTTTATCTGTAAATCATGTACTATATGGCCTTCGGGCCATGACACATGACACATGACTTTTAACCAATATTTTTGGTCACTCAAAAACATTGTTAAAAGTGTTAATTACTGTTACTATTACTAATACTGGTACTAAAGTATTGACGAAGGCAATTGCTATTGCACCCCACGTATGTATATCAGAAATTGTCACTTAAACTTTGCCCGAGGAGTGGGGTTTTGTCACTTCAAATGTGACAATCCCCACGTCTTGGGTGGGTCAGCCCCGGAGGGGGGGGGGGGGGACCAATTGATAAGCACATATATCCCCTGACATTTCATGTTCTCTGTATGGTTTCACTTTGACTTAATTAGTCATGTTAGTTATAGTAGGCCCCCTACAAAATATTTTTCAAATGAATAATTTTGTCATGTTTGTCATGTTTGTCATGTTTGTTGGTTTAAAAAGGCCCACATAACAAATTAAGCATCACCATGTGATTCTTGATTAGAATGTAGGCCTAAGTAATGAAAATTCATATTGATATGATATCAATTATGTTTTGTTTTGTGTTTGTTCAGTGCTGAAACTGAGCGATATCTTGATAATTTGCTTCTTTTCGACAAATACCTTGTGTTTCATTACACAGCCTCTCAAAGAAGTCAAAGTCAAAACAGAGTGGCACCATCCCAAACCGGAAAACCATCTCATGCTCCGCTAACCAACGGCTCTCAAAACCTCAGTATTACCAAGAGCACTGCAACTACTGGTGGACTCAGCCAGCCCAAGAGCCAATCAGATCCCCTCGCTGCTCTGAACACAGATGGCAAATCGGCGTCAGCCTCTTCTGGACTTCAAAATGGTTTCTCAAGAGAACCGGAGGTTGATGGCCCGGAGAGGAAAGCCAAGAAGCGAGACATCGAGGAGATGTTTGGGCCGTTGTCTGACAGTGAAGACGAGTTGGTCATAGATGCAGCCCTGCCAACCATTGGTAAGATTTTCATCATTACTCCAAAAACCCTTTCTCCTTCGGGATTAATACAGGTAAATATGAATCCACTGGAAAAATTGAGCAATTTTGTTGCTTCAAACTAAAAAATCTACAAAAAGCAAATGGTCTTACATGTTCCTACCTTTAACTCTCTAGTCATTTGTGCTAGTATGCAACCTCAGTCTTGCAAAATCCTCCAACTGCCTCCATGGAAAAATAACATACAACCTCAATCCTGCAAAACCCTCCGTTATTTCTTGAATGTGCTCCTTTGAGGGTTGACCACTGCATCAATCCTGCAAAATCCTCCAGCAATCACTGTCAGTATGTTGAGGCAGAGCCAGTGATATCCTGGAGCATTGCGGAGGATTTCAAGTGTAATCTTGGCCCAAATTTATGCACGGCTGAGCATAAACAACACAAGGTCCGGCCCAAGGCCTTGATAATGACAGTGCATCCTCCAAAATCAGCCACACATTTTTGCCATTTAGCCTAAATCCTGCAAAATCCTCCATTTTGCAAAGAGGATTTTGGAGAATTTGGGAAGGTTAGGGTTAAATGAATCAGTTGTATGGGATGAAATGATGGCAAACCAAGGTCATTTATCCAATCGAAGTTAGAGTAAAAGGTTTTATTTTTTAAATGTCAGCTCCAACAGCCAAGCGTCCCAGAAAACTCTTCCCGGATGCCAGTAAAACAACAGAGAAAGCCCCCACCTCCCCGCCCCCATCCCCAACTCCCGAGGAAAAAGCCCTCGCAAAGATAATGCTGCACCGGCAGCAGTCGGCATCTCTGGCCCAGCAGCCCGCGGAACCCACGAGGACGCTCTCCACAAATAGTGGTCAAGACACCGCCTGGCCGGCTGGGTATCGCCGGCTGCAGATCCTGCAACGGGAGCCCCCGGGTCTGTCGGCAAGAATCACCGGGCAGGACGGGAGGCGGGTGTATCTCAGGATGAAGGAGGTTGTCGGTGTAGAGGGTAAAATGGTAAGGGACCAAGTTCCAAGCTGCGGCAGAGCGTTCACATAGTTGAAATGTTTGCTAACACTAAAACGTTTTTGCCCTGCCCCAGTATGTGTTTCTTGCATATGAAGGAGAGGCATAAAACATTGATCTTGTCACTGTGGCATATTAAAAGCATTGAACTCATTGCAAAATGTGTACCTTACATTTCCTGGGATCTGTTAAAGAATTATAATGCTCCTAATGTTTCAAATTAACCCTAACCCTGCCAGACGCAACACAGTGCATCAGGTGGAAAAGTCTGGTGCACTTTGATGCATTCAGCTACCAACACCAGTGCATCAACGGCCGCTTCTGAGACAATGAGAGCTAAGTCCCATTGAACAATGCCACAGTTGTATCCTGCTGCATTCGGTGACCACAGACTCTGGGGCAGTTTGGCCTTGAGACTTTTGACCTGAATGATCTTGCTACACTGGGCAGGCTTGTCACTTAGACAAGTGTTGCATGTTGCTGCGTTTGGCAGGGTTTCTAGCCAAAAATGCCCTCCCTGGAGGGTTAGAGTTTTGAAGGAACATGTTTACAGGCATCCTGGAATCTTTGTAAAATTAAAACTTGAAGCAGGTCACATGGATGCAAGTCCCATATTTAAAGGTTTGAGAAAATGTGAGGCATCTGGCAAAATAAGACGGAACTGGGCAGAGGTCGAAATGAGGGTTTGCAAGTATTAGGAAAGAGAATATAATTCTCCTTGTAATACTGTTTGTTGCACTTCAATTGGACGTTCCGTTGACAATTTATGTCTGTTTAAAATTCACATTAATTGACATGTCAAAACAAGTAAAATACTGGGAAAAAAAGGCTTTTAAAGTTTCGAGTTTTGTAGTCGTGAAAATGAAAGATGCCAAATGTTTTTCCTTAACACTTATACTTCCACAATTTTTGTCCTATTTCTTTAAAATGCGTGTTGTAGACAAACCAAAGATTACAAATATCAGTAAATCTGAAAATTAAAAAAATCAACCCCATTCATTTTGTTGCATTTTTCTCCACTAAGCCAGTTCCGTTTCATTTTGCTAGAACGCCTCACAAATATGTTAAAGACTCTGATTTATTTTTTTCATTTATTAAAAAATTCATGAACTTGTTAATGCCCCTTTCGATACCCAGTCCTGTTTCCAAAATATCTTTGTAGAATTTCCAAATACCACAATACTTGTCTCAGATTCTGATGCTTCTAATAGTTTTTCCACTTCTTTTATTTTCTTGATAAACAGAAGAATAAGTCAATCTTCAAGCAGACCCCCGGACACCCCCTTCGCCTTCTTGCAGTGCCCGTAGAGATGATGCAAGACGATCTCGAGAGTGAGGTAAAACCAAAACACGATAAAACCATACCACCTCCAGCGTCAAAATGCGATATTATTTATTAACCCTAACAGAACTCAACCCATCAAACCCCTACGGCATGTTTTGTTGGAATCTGTTGGGATGGGTACAGTAGGCCTACCCCTAAACTGACAGTCTTTTACATTGGGTTGGCACACCTCCAGAATCAAAGTCAGAAATATGTGTGTGCAGTTTCCCATATGGTGTTTGAATTTGCCTGGATGGGTATGGTTCCTAGTAAATCATGCTAGGGAGTTAGGGTTAATGCTGCTCCCTATGACTGTTTTAGAGGTGGTCTTTATCTTTCTTGCAATACAGAGACACATGCGACTAGTGAAACAAGCCCAAACCATCTCAGCATCTTTAAACGGGTGAGCATACAAATACTTTGACTGGCAGTTTTGAATAAGTGCATTAAGTTTTAGTTTTCAAAGTGTGTTCCTTTTAGGCCCTCCCAAAAAAGTCTCTGGTTTCTGGTCTGCGCGGGTCACCGTAGCTGTGCAAAATAAAAAATTTTGCAATATAAGATGATGTCTCAAAACCGCCAAACTAACTGGTTTGACTGGAATCCTGCTGCTGCACAATTTTAACGCGTTTTTAGATGGGTTACGATCGAGTATAAGCTTTATGTGGCCTCTCTGGGCTGCCATATATTTTGAACTAAATTTAGTCGGGCACCATTTGCAGACGGTGTTTGAGCTATGGTCGTGTATCTGGAACCTGTAAACACTTTTTAATTAGCGCAATATGTAAGGGAGCAGACTAATGACCAGCCTGGTAGCTCATGCACGATGTCAATGTCGCTGTATGGTCTATCGTTACTGCTGTTTTCTCTGATTTTTGTCTTGACTTTTTCCAAATTTCCAAAAGAACGTTCGTGTCGGTCGAGGTCGTATTAGGGTGCAGAATTCTCAAGCCTTATGGCCTTACTGAGGTCACCTCAAGCTCCACTCTGAAGGATATTTTTGAGAGTTTTAAGGGGATCGAAGCGTCATCTGCAACATCAGCTGACATTTGAAGGAAATAAAAACCTGTGTCGCCGCACCACTTTTGGGGCAAGCTCCATACCAGAAACAGGAGACTTTTTGTTTTGGCCTTAACAGCATTTGATATTTCTTTAATGAGAACATCTAAAAAGCAAGGTCGCCTGATCTACAAATACATGTATCCTTGTTATTGGAAACAGTCTTGGTGCACTGCTTGTTTTATCTGCAGTAATGGCATTCAGTTTCCTGATTACGGGAAGAGTATACTGTCCAAATTGTTGAGTTTCCTCCAGGATTTTCAGACTTGTAAAACTTGACCAGCATGTTGCGAATAAACGATAGAATACAAATTTGACTAATCGAATACTGAATTATTTGAAACTCCTAGCACTAACCAGCCTTTCAAGCTGAGGATACAATTCCAAGTTGGTTTCATTCAACAAATACATTACAAAATAATAGTTTCATCTCTTTTCTCTTTTTTAGAGGCCTGAGCAAGAAGCTCGGGACGTCGGCCGGCGATGAGGCAGACGATGAGATGGAGGATGAAGATGATACCGGGAAGGAGGCTGCCACCAAGGAGAAGTCGTCAGCGCTCTGGGTGGATCAGTACGCTCCCCGACGCTACACGGATCTACTCAGTGACGATGTGAGCATTCTAAACATTTATTCCCACAATGTCACTAATTGGACAGTGGGATGATGTGGTCCAATGGTTACTGTGTTCAACTAGTGTGCCGTGGTACATGGGTTCGAATCCTGGCCATGGGAACATGGTGCTTGTGCTCTTTAGCAAGGCACTTTACCATTATTGCCTCATCCTTTGGATGGGACGTAAAGCCGTAAGTCCCGTGTGTTGTGTAATGCACCTTAAAGAACCCAGTAACACTTATCGCTAAGAGAAGGGGTTTGCCCCGGTGTTTCTGGCAGTGGCTGCAATATGCGCTGCAGCACCTTGTAATTCCCTTATAAGGTGCTACATAATGGATCTCATATTTCTCATAAACTTCATTTACCTGTCTTTTCATAATAGACATAACATCCAGCGCCTTGAGTACCTAATTGTTGGTATATACGTGCGCTATATAAGACTCCAGTATTATTATTATTATTATTATTATTATTTATTTGGCCAACAAGTGAACAAAAGTACAATGACAAAGCAAATATGAATTAAAAAGTAAACAAAAATTGGAAAATGAAAAGTATGACCAGACAAGACTGAAGAATGCGAGTAGGAATGGGTCGGGGAGGGGGGGGGGGGGGGGGAGGAAAGGGAGGGTGGACAGTTTGACAGGGGAGAGGAGATAGAGGGACAGAAAACAAAAAACAATATATCATTCCAAACCGGCCAGGGTAAACAAAAGTGTACTAAAACACTGTAGCCCTAAGGCCTGCCTACCCATGCTCGAAATGTCTACACAAAAATTAAATAGTATGCAATGTGAATATAAATATATGAATGGAAAAAAAACCCCAAAAAACAAAACAAAACAAAACAAAACAAATAACAAAAACACAAAATTAGTTAGAACAAAATGGCAAGCAAATGTAATATAATCGAAAGACATCACACGAGTAACAGAGCATGTCAACTAACAATAAACAAAAACTAACAAAGACAACTATTCAAACTGCCCAACAAATAAACTGGAAATGAGCAAACAAACAATACCCCAATAAAAAAAAAAAAAAAACCCAACAAGCAAACTAGTACCCCATCAGACCGACACCCCAATAACCCCACAAATACCCCCCACAAGCAAACAAAAAATAAACAAACACACATCCCTTAATTATTATTAAGAAAACTTTTATACATTTTGTGACCGAGAAATATTGACTCCTTGTGCAAGTACCCCCTCAATGCTCACAAAGAGAGAGTTGGGGGAGACCACTGGGAGGGAGTCTTGAACGCATTGCCCACAGCGCTTGATGTTGAAACGTAAAATTAGTTGTGCATACTTCATGCCATACGCATAGTTAACATGCATTGTATCGCAACTTGCGCGACAAATTCGTCACCCTTTTCACGAACAGCCACTCGTGGATTTTGAAGGAAAAAAACGTTTTCGTGATAATCGCAAGAGAAGTTCCTCCTATTTTAAAACTGCAAAAACTACTACTTTGCAACACCTTTATGCAGTACGAAAGCATTCATATGTTTTTTTAAAAGGTAAACATTTATGTAAACCCAGTAATTAGAATTATACTTAATTAGCCAAAATTAAATAGTTTGTGAAAACGAAAATCCACGTTTCCTACATTTAAGCCCTTTCTATTCCGTAGGGAAGGAGTGCGCGTGTGTACGTGCCTGCAACTGATAATGTAAAAACGAAGATCTCACTTGACCTACTTTTACGCCTTTCCGTCCAATACGTTTTGTATGCATTCAAGGGGCACCTATGCTCGTGTCTCTTCGTGAAAACGCAAAGCACTAATTGAGATGCCTGCCCCTTGCATCATTAATGTAATTAAGAAATTAATGATGTTTTGCATACAGCAGTACACAAAATGTTTTAAGTACGATGTTTTAAAGCGAAATAGTGAGGAAAAAAAAATTGAAATCGAAAAAAAAATTGTCATTTTTGACATGTGTGGTTCTTTGTGAAAACGGTGACGAGTTGTGGTGCAAGTGGACTTGCCAATGTGTAAAGTTTCGTGAAATAAGTACGAACTGTATTGCATAATGGTTTTGACTATTTCCTTTCGTAGGGAATAAATCGCAATCTGCTATTCTGGCTGAAACTCTGGGATCATTTAGTGTTCGGGAAAGAGAAAAAACAACGGAAGAAACCGAAGCTGGAACAGCAGCAGAAGCAAGCGGAGGCCAAGAACTTAAAGTTCAAGAACAAGTTCCAACAGGAAGAGCAGCAGGAGGCAAGTACCAGATTCATCTGTCTGTTGGGCGGGGTGTTTGTTTACTTGTGCACAAGAACTGCGCTATGTTATTATCTATTGGTTATTAGGTTGGTTCTCAACTTAATGTTAAATCATTTCAGCTGTTTAGCGTTCTTTGATTACACTGAAAAATAATCTTCACATTTTACGAGAAAGCAACATTGTTTCACTGTGTTTGGACTTTGGGTACATATTTCATTGGCATTACAGGGTAACCCTGTAGGATAGCACTGCCCGGGTCACACGTGACACAGTTAGTTAGTGAGATTGTTACAAAGAGGAACCAGTGTCCTCGGGGATCAGCATAAACTGAATTGCAAAATTGTGTCCGGATATGTATGTTCTTGTCACTGATGTTCATGTTCATCTTTGTGTTTGTGAAGGAGCTGGATGAGAACAATCGTCCAGTTCACAAGATCGCTTTGCTGTGTGGTCCACCGGGCTTAGGCAAGACGACCCTAGCACACATCATTGCTGGACATGCTGGCTACAACGTGGTGGAAATGAATGCAAGGTAAGTGGTAATGACAGCACTATTACTTTATAGTCAACTCTTGAAATCTTTTTTAAAAATACGCTGATTTTCTCTGATTTCTCAAAGGATAATAAATTTAATTTTCCACTGGTTTTACATTTTTCTTTCAATTTTTGGGGTTGTTTTGTTGACAGTGAAATTGTTTTTAAAAAACTTCTTCAAACTATTAGCTCTGTCAATTTTCGAATAATTTAATATTCGATTATTATTCAAAAATCTTTGCACAAGTTTTACAATTAAATCAGTCAATTTAATTTTTAAATAAAGTTTACACCATACCAAAAAGGTAACTGTTCTTTTTACAGTGACGATCGCAGTGTTGAAGTCTTCAGGAATAAACTAGAATCATCGACCCAGATGCAGTCAGTGTTAGTCATGGATAGAAGACCCAACTGTCTGGTCATCGATGAAATTGACGGTGCTCCCACGGTAAGACATTCTCATTTCATCAGGCTTTTATTCAAAGATGAGAGTTAACAAAATAGGAGACTTTCCTCTAAGAGAATGTTTAGAAGACCCAACTGTCTGGTCATCGATGAAATTGATGGTGCTCCAACAGTAAGACATTCTTATTTCATCAGGCTTTTATTCAAAGATGAGAGTTAAGAAAATAAGAGACATGGCTCTAAGAGAATGTTTCACTTTAAAATGTGTTCATAAATACCGGTACAGAACAGTTTTTAAGGCCATTCCTATTGGTAGAGCCTGTCACATGGGTAGTTTTAAACCGCTGATAAAACATCACGCGCACACACCAATCTCCATACAAGGAGATATTTAGCACTTCGCTTGCGAGGCATATACCCTAACCATGGCAAGAGGGGTGTTCCAAGATAGACAAAGTAAAATTATTAAACGGAATCGCTGGGAATTTGTGAATTTTTGACTTGTGTTGACTTTTTGACCGAAAAGGTATTTATGAAGGGAAATAAATATGTGCTTGGCCAGTATTAAACAATTACATGGTTTAAAATCAGCCAAGCACATATTTATTCCCTTATCATTACTTCTGGTGGGAATTTTTTTATGAGACTAGCTGAACTGCCATTACTTGTGCAGAAAATATTTTGAAGACATGTTTGTTCGTCAAAATATGCAAAAACGTCTCTGTTCTATGTTTGCCTAGGTGAGCCATTTTGTTCTGTAATTTGTTGCATGATTCACATCTCGCATGAGTTTGTTGTTTTGAGATGTATTTCTTTTGTAACCCAACTTTACTGCAGAATGGCCATGTTGACAATAGCAAAATGCAAATAAGTTTACCTGTAATATGGTGAAATTAAACTATTTGATTTGGTTGATAATAACACTTTCCTCTGTCTTCATCAATATTCATGAGTTGTAATCCTGCTCCGGGTTGATGAATTTTGTTTGTTTGTGTGTTTTTTACTTCAGCCCGCCATCAATTGTCTTCTAGCATTTATCAAAGGTGCTTCGGACAATAAAACACCAACAGAAGCAGGGCCTGCTACCGCTAAGAAGACGAAATCAAAGAATCTGCTGAGGCCGATCATCTGTATATGCAACGACCCGTAAGTAGTCCTTCTGGTGATTTCAAGTTTACTGCAAGTAGAACTGCGGGTTAATGATTCAAATTTGCTAGAAAGTTGCGTGAAAATTATTAGCCTACAATTTTCAAAAATGTTCCTCGAGCACGAATGGATTTTGGCACGCTGTTATCTCATGCAGGTCTCCTACACTCAACCAAAAAAAGAAAGTCCCCCCTTAATACTTTGTTGTCTTACTCAAAAACTACTGGGCACATCTTGCTCAAATTACGACTGATCAGTACAGAAATTCCTTAGCAATCCAGCCATACTCTTTGTTTGGCCCAAAACAGTGATACTGTGTACAAAATTATGCAATTTATGACAAATGGTACCGGAAAAAAAGTTTTGTATACGTGCAAGGTGAGTGTGAACCACAACGTGCACGTTTACAAAAGTGCAACTGTTTTCGGTATCATTTGTCATAAATTGCATAAATTCGTACACATTATCACTGTTTTGGGCCAAATAAAGAGTATGGCTGGATTGCTAAGGAATTTCTGTACTGATTAGTCGATATTTGAGCGAGAGGTTCTCAGTAGTTTTTGAGTTGGACAAAAAAGTATTGGAAGGGGGGACTTTCTTTTTTGGTTGAGTGTAGCACGATTGATAGGTGATGGGATTGTGCCTTGATGATACAAGCATGGCATTTGGCACACAGTCAGAGTATGTCATGAGAAAGATATTTGGCTGTAGGGCCATCGCACATTTGTCCTTCGAAAAAATATAGGCCTAGGCAGAATAATAACATTGAAAATTGCCTGTTATTCTACCTATATTTTTTCAAAAGACAAATCTGCGATGACCATATAGCCAAATATTTTTCTCATGACATATTCTGACTGTGTGCAAAATTCCATTCTTGTATTAACAAAGGCACTATTCCCAAAAAATGGCTCCTAGTTTTGTTCGGCGAATTATTCTATTAAGGACTGCATAATTCAGTTTGTAAGAGCATGAATGCTATTTTCAATCAAGTTCGAGAACTCTCATTTCGTAATTCCGTTTTAAAGGGAAACAAATGTCACTGGCTGGATAATTCAGTTGGTAGAACACTGGAACTGCAACTCACAGGTCTGAGGTTCACCTCTTGGTTCAGTTAAATTTTCTTAATTGTTTGTTTTATTTTTAACAGGTATGTTTCATCACTATGTCAGTTGAGACATAATACTTTCAACTCAGTTGGTAGAACACCGGAACTGCAGCTCACAGGTCTTAGGTTCATCTCTAGTTTGAGTTAAATTGACTAATTTGTACTTCAAATTGTTTCTATAATTCGACAGGTATGTTCCAGCACTACGTCTGCTCAGGCAGCAAGCGTTCGTGACCCATTTCCCTCCAACCCTCAGCACAAGACTCGCGGCAAGACTCAATGAGGTAGTCTAGTAACAATAAACCATAATCACGTCATTGTTTTGCTCACAAATTGAGCCAAATAAAAACTGAAGAAATTATTTTAACCCTTTCCTTACCATGGGCGACTTTCGTCGACAAGAACTACCCCCCCCCCTTGCTGATTTCCATGGGTGACTTTAGTTGACCAGGAAACCACTCACAGAACACCCTTAACACAGATATATCAGAAAGGTGACATGTTCTTTGGCCGCCCATACATCAACCATATACCAGCTGAAAGAGTGTTTTTGGATCGTTCTAATGGTGTAGTTTATTCATAGTGTTACCATTACTAAAAATTGAGAAAAGTGCTTCAGGAGTATCCACGCACAATCTGAGGTATGGAGTGCCATTTGGTCATGTGGCAAAATGGCTTGCAGTTTGATAAATGGAACCAGATGGACAAAAAGGCATAACTTTCTTATATTTACACATATGGACTTGGACATTTTTACATCACATAAAAGAGTAAGGTTCAAGGAACAAACTTTACACACAACACCTATGATTTTACTCACTTCTTGGCAGTGAAAATCTGGGTTGAAAAAGTTTGAAAAAGGTTGAGTTTTTGACTTGTGGTCATTTTGTTCACGCTCTAGTGATTTCCGCATGACTGAGCAAACAATTTGGTCATGAGGAAAGCCAAGTCAAAAAACAATGTGGTAATGGAAAGGTTAATGGTATAATAAAATCATATTATTAGGTTAACAACTGCTAGATTGGGGCCTTGCTGTAAGTTCAATATTGGGTTTGCCTTTCACCAACGTATTTTTACAACCCCCCCAAAAAAGCAATATTGAGAGTTGTTTGTGCCACCATTTGACGGTTAAATCTTTATTTGCAGATAGCAAGAAATAACGCCCTGCGGACAGACATGACAGCGCTGATGGCGCTGTGTGGTAAAGCTGACAATGACATACGATCGTGTCTCAACACTCTACAGGTATAGCACATTGGAAAACTTTTGCCGTTATTCATAATAGTTTAAAGTTTCAATTTTTTGGGGGCGAGGAATTTGACACTGAATGACCGTAATACTTGTTTAGATTTTTGTTTTGGTACCCGGCTATTTTCTCAATGTTCATACAATCACAGAGATTACATTCAGAGTTTTCATTAACCCTAACTCCCTAGCGTCTTTTACTAGGAACTGGACCAAGTCCATCAAAATCCATCAATCACTGTGCGTCCAATACAAAACTGTACATGACATAATGGAATCCAGCACTGATGCACTGGTTGACATTCATGGACTTGCTACACATGGCTTTTATCACGATAGCAGTACAGGAAGCTAGAGGTAAAATCAATCGGATACCCCTAGCACTGCTTCAGGCCATTAGGACCAAGTCCATCATACTCCATCAATATTTAGTCACGCCAGGCCTTCTGGACCGAGTCCCCCAAAATCCACCAAAATCGGGGGATGGATTCTGATGGAGTTGGGGTGGTTAGGGTTAAGCTGTAGTAGTTTATATTTTCTTTGTTTTTTATATTTTGTTATGCAGTTTATCCACGGGCAAGGCAGAGTCCTTAGCCTGGCTCTTGTCCAATCACTGAGCGTCGGCCAGAAAGACCGACATAAAGGCTTCTTTTCAATATGGCAGGATATCTTCAAACTCCCACAGCCAAAGAGGTTAGTTCAGTGGAACGCCGCTATAACGAACATCGCGGGATCCACAGAAAATGTTCGTAATAGTGATCGTTCGGTATAGCAATTTTAAGCTGTCGGTGCTCCGGTACTCGCTTTTCAATAAATATCGCCCTTCAGAACTTCACCCTGCACGCCCTGGTAGTTACTGAAAGACGACTTCGAACACGTGCCGACTATTGAATTATGTAATTACACAGTTTTGAGCTTACTACCTACATCAATGGGTGGCTTTCCCCTTCTATGCCTTGGGGAAATAATAGCCACTTGTCGCTCTTCTGTTGACGGTTTTCAACAACAATGTTCGGGTGGTTTTGAACACAAAAATCGGGAGCCAAGGACGATGTTCGGTATAGCCGAATGTTCGGTATAGCAGTGTTCCGTATAGCGATGTTCAATTGTACAGTGATGTTGCTATCACAACATCATCGTCATGGACTTTTCCATGCCTATTAGGGGTGTGCATTTACGGTTAGTAAGGGAATCGGGTACCCGATTGAAAAAAAATACGGGTACCAATTAAAGAAAATCCAACCCCCCAAAATTAAATCAAAAAGTTGTTGTACGCGTACGGTTTGTTCATAAAGGTCGACACGGTACTACCACATCAGTGCGTCAAATCCGTCAATACGGCGAGATACAAGTGTGTACAGTGAGCTCAATGCATGTAGCTTTACAGTGTGGGTAAATTGGGTGCTGTGGTCCAATGGTTACGGTGTTTCACTCGTGTGCCGTGGTTCATGGGTTCAAATCCTGACCGTGGGAACATGGTGCGTGTGCTCTTGAGCAAGGCACTTTACCATTATTGCTTCGTCCTTCCTTTGGATGGGACGTAAAGCTGTAGCTGTTATGTAATGCACGTTAAAGAACCCAGTAACACTTATCGCTAAGAGAAGGGGTTCGCCCCGGTGTTTCTGGCAGTGGCTGCAATATGCTCCGCAGCACCTTGTAATACCCTTAAAAGGTGCTACATAACGGGTCTCATATTTCTCATAAACTTTATTTACCTTTCTTTAATAATTGACATAATTTCGAGCGCCTTGAGTACCTATTTGTTGGTAGATATGTGTGCTATATAAGACTCGGGTATTAGTATTATAATTATGGTTAAAATGGGTAAATTGTCTTACATGTAGGTAATTTTTAATCCTTAGTTAATTGTAACTGCAGCCGATTTCAAGAAACAGCGCATAACTTATGTCATATGTAGGACTTCAAGAAACTTGGCGTAGCTGATGCTTCTTTTTCTCCTAATTCTTTCAGGAAGCAGTATGCTAACCCACATGACGTCGCAGCAGGCAAGGCTAAGATAGCCACTGCAGCAGACGGTACCCTGGGTCTGGACACCAACAATCCAACGTCGACGACCGCACGCTTCTACAATGTGGTGCAGCTGGCTCAAGGGGCTGGCGATTATGATAAACTCATGCAAGGTGGGAGTCCAACTGTGACGGCCATGTTGGTCTTAGTCCCCTAAGTCTATAGTTGAGATTATAATGACTTTAATCAGTTCTTCCATGGCACCTGTCTAGTTTTAAAAAAAATGGTTGCAGTGCAATTAATGCCACATTAATGACAACCTTAGCCTTGGTCAAGGCGCTAGTTGTTATTCATCCGGCCGTAGCGCGGTAAACGATATCCTCGCGATCGCTAGCGCTATGCATGCAGTGCAGTAAAAATACAGCGCGAACAGCGACCTCACGCGGCCACTATTTTTATGCAAATCAGTTGGACCCAATCTAGCGCCTTGGTTCAATCGTCGGCAAAAGCTTATGCTTTTCTTTATTTTGCGCTGGATTTCTAGCGCACGACCTCGTATGCGAATACAGATAAGTGTAGGCGGGGCTAATATGTGGAGTGCCCAATCACACCTTCGTAAATCAGGACGTCAACAAATTATTTGCAGCTATTCGCCTTTTGCGGACGTGACAGGAACCACAGTTTTTGTGCATTGGTGCCGTGTGCAGAGACACACAACGTGTACGTGTATGCATTATGTACGGTGCCACGTTTCACTATGCAAGTTTCCACGCAACGATCGACCAATAAGAAAACAACATTTAAGGTCAGCTAAGGCTATTAACATAATTTAGCACCACCCCCAAAACCTCACATGGACGATTGAACCAAGGCGCTAGCTTGGGTCCAACTGATTTGCATAAAAATGGTGGCCGCGTGAGGTCGCTGTTCACGCTGTATTTTTAATGCACCGCATGCATAGCGCTAGCGAGGATATTGTTTACCGCGCTACGGCCGGGATGAATAACAACTAGCGCCTTGACCAAGGCTATGACAACCTCAACACTATATTACCCTCGTGGTTTTTCATCTAGATTGCTGAAGAGTATCCTTGGACAATAGGAAAATTCAGTATTCCAAAATAGTCTGGTGCACAGCAAGATTCGACGATTACTTTTCGGGATAACGGCGAGATAAATGCACACAAAGCTATGGGGGACGTGGTAACCAAATTTGCTTTCTGTGGAATTTTTTGTGCAATCAAACAGAGATAGAACTTTAGTTCACACAAAAGTTTTGACACGCAAGACACCTAAAACACTTCGCTGTCCAAAGGTTTTTTGCAGCATGTTATCCTTCAGAACAAGATGATCTCTTCAATTTTGCTGGTACCCGCTTTGCTTTTGCACGCATGCGATGACATTTTTATCCTAAAAGAAAAACTGCAAATCTTGAGGTGCACATGCGCAGTTGGAAAACCGAACTTGCTTTTACATGAAACTTGGCAGTATTTCAAACTAAAAAGTATTCCTGTTTTTATTCACCCAGGGATATTTGAGAATTATTTGGAGATGAAATTCAAGGACCCAAGGCTTGAAGCAGTAAGTAAAAATAGCAGTCTCTTTGGAAAAAGTATCGGACATTATGTTAACTTGCTTCTTTTAGGGTTCCTAAAAAATCCAGGAAAATCCTGGAATTTAAAGTTTTCATTGAAAGTCATGACAAAATCCAGGAATTTTGTTATTCTACAAGGAGTTTTAAGTTAGAGATTCTTGGAAACATTATCTCCAAGGAGTTTTGTAAATTGTATATTTTTTTTATCTTGCCTTCCGTGACGCTTTTTTCTAAACTTAATTGCAGCTGAATCTTGCCTCTGATTGGTTGATCTTCCACGATCGCCTTGGCAGCGTTGTCGCTCGCAGTCAGAACTACACCTTCTACCGATACCTTCCCTACGTACCCGTGGTGTTTCATCTGTTGTTTGCCTCATCTTTACAGCCCCGGCTCAAGTACCCCAACACTGCCTACGAGGTAAGGGAAAAGTTCTGCACCAAATTTCACGAAGCGCTGTGTTACATGTTGCAACTTGCAATGTGTCGCATGAACCATTTCACAAAACTTTTGATATGTTAAGCACGTCTTAAGTTCCTTAACAACTGCTTAAAACACGTTGCAAGTTACGACGTGTCTAGTGGTCATCGCAAAATAAGAAGCCTCCTTTTCTTAGCCAGTTTTATTCCATAAAAATTATATAAACGAGACTATATTACCATGACAACGTGTGTGAAGTTGTAAATGGAAAATGCATCAAAGAAAATTATGCTTTAACCAGCAGCCGATTTCACGAAACGCCAAGACGCGTCCTAGGAAGGGTAACTCGTCTTAACTCGCGACTCGTCCTAGGATCGATTTCACCAAACTTAAGACGCGTTCAACACGTCCTAACTTCCTTAGCAACGCGGCCGAATTCGTCTCAACTTAGGATCGGTCCGAGGGTCGTCTTATCTCCGCGAACACGTAAAATTTACTGAAATTCACAATGGCGCTTATGCTTCTTGCGGATCGCGAAGCTCGGCGGGCAATAAGGCGAGAAAGGTTATTCCGAGACAGGAGAAATCCAATAGACAGTCTCAATGACGAGGAAATCCTCACGAGATATAGATTCACGAGACATGGGGTATTCCAAGTTCTAGAAAGGGTTGCAGATGAATTGGAGTCCGACACCCGGGTGAGTTAATTAGCATTCAGTAAAATTTTACTAACAGACTTAGGCCTAATTGTGTAGAAAGCGGACAGAAAAATAGTAAGCAACCGTAACAGCCGGGGATGGGATCCGGGAATAAAGCCTGAATAAATTTTGGCGTAAGAGAAGAAATTATTCAAGTATTAGGGAATTTGTTTCATACCTAACGATTTAACCTATGAAAGCAAGGTTGTTTCAGGGAACATCTCTATATGTTCCTACATTTACGAAGCGTTTATGATTTTAAAAAAGGCCTATATACAGAAAACAATTAAACGGCCGTATAATTATTTCTCAACAATGAAATTATTCTAAACGGACATTTTTTTCTTTGCACATTAACATCCCAGTCAAAAAATGGTCAGAATAAAATCGATACATTACATTTTACATTACATTACACAAAGGCCTAGGCCCTGTTTGATAATGTTTTCAACTGTTAAAAACACACAACTAATCGGATTGTGTTCACAACTGCAAAACTAAATGGCAGATTCCGGAATTAGTTTGCTCCAAATAAGCATTTTTACAAAATACGGAGATTTGTAAAACCTTATTTATAGAAAAGTGACTTTCGTGATTTATTTTGACCATCGCGTTGGGATCCCCATACTGTTACCTTTTTAGGTTAACTTTCCGATTGAGGATTGCTAGGAAGGGATTGTAACCGGGGAGAGTGATTTAAATTAATTCCGAATGGTTCCACTAATTTAAAATAATTTGGGTGGCGCAAAATTTTTTGGTTGTCTCAACAATATCAAAATGTTTTATTTGCAACACAATTAAATCGATTTCAAATATATGAGACAATGTTTTTACAAATTATCAGATATTTACAAAAGAATTAAAGTATAAAGAACTTGGGTATATAGAACGACTTTCAAAAGGGAATTGAAGCTGTCTAGATCTATCCAATGATCTGAAATTACAAACAATAAATGACTAATAAATTATGGGAAAGCTTTCAGATCATTAAAGACATCATTAAATTCAGAGTAATTTGGGGAAACACTGTTTTCCTTATTTTTAAATAAAAGAATACTTTTTATGAATACATACATCAGTAAGTGAAAGTTGTTACCATGTTGCCCAAATAGAAGAATTATTCGCAATTAGAAAATTATTTGCGATGGCAACTTTACCATATAAGACTAAGAATATTGTATATACAATAGTGCAATTTTAATTCCGAAAATAGAAATGAGTTCTTCACCAAATAATGTTATAAAATAATGAAGTAAGAATATATACCATGTTCTAATAACAAATTTCTGGGGGGAAAAGGGTAGGCCTATCCCGTTTTTGCAGCTCACAATCATTTTCTAAAAGGTAAACCCGTGTTCTGCACGGAAAATTTTTCAAAATGTTACCCCGATTTAATTTTAAAAACTTGACATTTGAAATATAAATATTCCCCATAGTACTTATGATAAGTCCCAATTTCTGAATCATTGAGCGGTCATACCGATTCGGAAATATTTTGAATTTGTAGGATTATCTGGGTGCATTTTAGTGAAATTTCAAACGTACGTCGAACTAGAGCAACAAGTATAGAATAGTATTCTTCGCGAACATTCTACAAAATAATTTGTATTTTCAAAAACGCTTTTCATATAGTTAACAATTAAATAAAAAAATCTATGAAAGGGCAAGCAATAATGGCATTGTTTCTTTTCAACATTTTAATCCTTATAAAGAGGAGCAATGCAATATCGCCACTGATGCAACTGCTCACTACCCTGCGGTTCTTCGGTACCGGTGCCTTCTACACCGTTGAAGGTGATCTCCATGATGTCAGCGTCCCGTCCGTCTGTCGCATCGTTCACCGGGTTGCCAACTCCCTCGCAAGATTGACCGATCGCCACATACGATTTCCTGTCGACATACAAGATGTGATGAAGACCAAGCAAGGGTTTTTCGACAAGGCAGGCTTTCCCGGGGTAGTTGGTGCGATAGACTGCACCCACGTACGACTGTACGGAGCACCACTCGGTGATGACGAGCCTCTGTATGTAAACAGAAAAGGTTATCACAGCATTAATGTTCAAGCTGTGTGCAATGCGTCATTTAAGATGACGAATGTCGCCGCACGATGGCCAGGCAGCACCCACGACAGTGCGGTTTTGCACGGGAGCCTTCTCGGAGAAATGTTCGAGAATGGAAGGTTTGTACTAGAAGCTTTAGGCACCTTTGAGAATGAAATAAAGTATGCACGAGTGGTGACCATAATAGGAATCTTTGGAAGTAAAAAAAAAGGCAAACAATTCTGTGTAACAAATTTGAAGAAACACGCCATCGGATTTGAACTGTTTACTAGAAACATCAATGATACATAATGATAGGCTCTGATAATATTCAATAAATACATTTAATAAAAAAATCCCCTTAATTTTCAGACTCCAAGGAACGCTGATAGGCGATACCGGCTACGCCCTACGACCGTGGCTGATGACACCTGTCGCTGAACCGACAACAAACGCCGAGAGACGCTACAACAGGTACTTTTATCATTTATAATTATTTGAGACTTGAGTGATTTTTTCCAACTTTCACTCGGGAGGTAACACACTGAGTATACAGTGTTTAAACGTCGGTGAAGGGCAAAACCTTATTTGATTTATTTGAGACTTGCAGCCAATAAATAATGTACACAGCAAAGAGAAAACAACAAGTAAGGATTCAAACTGTATCAATACATTTAATTCAATTCAACAACACGTTTGTTTTTTATTGTTATATGTATATTCATGAAATCTGCAAAAACAAATTCAAAACTGGGTACTGCTCGACTTGAGCGATAAATATTGAAAAATGAAAGAAAAGTTTTGCGAATTTCGTAAGAAAGTATGTACACAAACATTACGGATATACATGTAAGGAGGTTAGGAAGGTGATATTTTCTTTATTCGATGCTGTTAATCTAGTGTTCCACCCAACTGATGTTTCATCAGAAAATAGTTCAGTTGGTCAGGCTATTTTTTCAATTTTTGAAACGTTCATGTATGGCACAAAGAGAAATCTATTTACAGCTGATGTTTCATCAGAAAATATTTCAGTTGGTCAGGCTATTTTTTAATTTTTGAAACGTTCATGTATGGCACAAAGAGAAATCTATTTACAGCATGGTTTTAAACAAGACAAACTGAACAACGTATAAAAAAAAATAAACCTATTATTTCTTCTTTTTATTGCAGGAGCCACAGAAGAACAAGAGTGACAATTGAACAGGTTTTCGGTCAACTGAAACGCAAATTTCCCTGTTTGTCACTCGGGCTCCGTGTCGCCCCCCGTAGAGCCTGTCAGATCATCAAGGCCTGTTGTGTGCTGCATAACATTGCCAAAGAATTGAGGGAGCCGGAGATAGAGGGAGAGCTGAGAGAGGATGAGGGAAACGATGACATACCCTATGATGGGCACATCCAAGATGGTACGATACAGAGGAACAGAATAATTAATGCATACTTTTGAATACTTTTTATCAATCCCACTTGTTGTTTTACAATTTATCAATCCCTCTATGTTGCATAAATATTTACAGGTTGTTGTTTCCAGTACCAATGAACCCTTATGTTTTTCCAATCCATTCTAATACAGAGTTCCAGTAGAGTAAATCCATTTTATTGATGTCACCAAGTAGCAATCAATTGAAACTGAAAACAGAACCATCCAACATATAATTTGACTGTAAGATTTGTTCATTTATCTTGGTATTTTGGTAACCTATTTTATGTATTAAAATTTCAGCAATCCTACTCACAATGTTTACAGGCACTGAAAATGCTTGTGAATAAATTTTTACACATTAGAGATGTCGAGTTAATTTTGCACGTTTTTCAAGCCTATAATTAGTTTCTTCAAAATATCTTCATGCAACACAATAGGATTGAATGGATTTATTTCTTTAACTACTTGACAATTTCTTCATAAGTTTCAGTTTAATGATTCTTTAGACCTAAATAATTATAGGGCTCATGCAATGTAACTTGTTTTTATGCAATCCTTCAAAATGCACATTTGTATCCCCTTAAACCTTATATTTAACTTTTGTTTGCCATTTCTAAGGGCATTTTGGTGCCTTTTGATTTTGAGGCTCATACAAATTGCCACATAAAAGCAAAAGTATAATGTCATTTCAGGCAGAGACCTTAATGTTGCATCTAGATCAGCACCAACAGGTGCCCGAATTTGGATACTTTGCTGTTGTAAATTCCTTTTCTGTGGTGGTCCATTGTTGCGTCAGCAAGACAATGAGCAAATTTATCTCAAAGATGTTTCCAATATGCAAATATTTGGGTTCATAATTTGAACAGAACATCCCTCAACTGACAAGTGTCTTCCTGAAATGACATTATGATAACAGCGCCCTCAGTTGGCCGGAAAAGCTTGGAACATTTTAAATGTTTAAAGAAGTGCAGTTTTCAACAAAATAACCAAAAAGGGAAGTCAAATAGTTTTTCTCTTGCCGGTGATATTATATCTTCATGACGATGACGGGGCTACTGTGCAGTGAACTGAGAATGTGGATCGCGACGCTGCTTGACCGGCAATGATAGATGTGAATGTAGCAGAAAGTTGCACAAAATATGTACCTGACAAAAATGCATTGTAATTTTCATGAGCCCTTTAATTAGTTTGATCCCTCAGCAACAGGTTGGAAAGGAACAGTTGGAAGTTGTGGCTGATTTCACCCAGTGAACCTGAAATCTGCCTACTAACTTCCAGCTGCTCCTTAGCAACCTGAAGTCTCTCATGTTCCAGCGCCAGTTTCTGTTTCTCTATCTCCAAGATGGAGTCCACCTTTGTAGTTTTTGTTGTCACTTCCTCTGATTCCTGAACAATTCCTGGATGTGGATGATGTGCTTCCTCTGATGGAGAGGCCGGGTTGGACTCAGCAGGTGCGACTTCACCTAGACTGATGGCTTTAAACAAACAAAACAAAAACAAAACAAAAATGTTTGCTTAAAACTGAATAACATTCATTAAATCAAGAGTCGTTACTAATTGCCAGGAAATATTGAATTACTGTACATACTTTTTCTTTTGTGTAAATAGTTTTGATACAATGTCATTTGTTTGTATTTTCACTGCACAAAAATTTCCTTCAGTGCTGAATTAAACCTAAGTTAATATTACTTGAACAATTTCAGATTCCAAGAGCATTGCCTCTGTGACTTGTATTACTAGGACTCGAGCCAGACTTTTTTTTAAATTGTATGTATTTCCAGTTCATTAAATTAGAGAAAAGCTGTGAAAAATGGAAACATTTACAATGAGAGGTTTTAGCAGTACCTCAATTTTTTTCCCAAACAACTTTTAAAGGCGACTCGCAACTCGGACTCGACCGGAGTCTCTTGTGACTCGGACTCGACCTGCAAGACTTGGGACTTGAGCAGTCCCCTGAAAGCTTGTTTTCCTTTAAAATTGCATCACACGGCCTCCATTTTGTTTTACATTTTTACGAATTTCGACTGAAGATCCAACGACTCTTTGTTGAATATCAAACGACTATTTCAGGCATGCAACTGGGAAATCTCAAAAAAAAGAGGAAATTCAAATTTTCCCAGACTTTGTACAGTGTTTTTCTATTTTCAATGGCACACATGTGAAGTAAAAAAAGGGGAAATCAGCTGAACCGAGGAAAAGTTGCATGCCTGCTATTTACTGTACACTGATTAAATACATAAAATAGTCACCAAGTTGTGCTATAAATACACCTTCGACGCGTCGCACTTACGACATGTTTTTTGAAATGGATCGCAGGACGCGTTGCAGCTGAGACGCATCGTAGAGGTACGGCATGTCGCAGCGCTGCGATGCATCGTAAGTTATGATGACCTTCATGAAATCGAATGCTTGTATGACTGCACACTAATTAAAACTACTTACTATTTGCCACTATGTCTAGCATCAATTCCTCAGCTGTGCTGTCCTCAACTGGTATTGCAGCTGCTGGGTCAGACTCACCATCATCCGCCGACAGGATGCCATCCTTGGCAACTGGTGCAAGTGCATCTAGCACGACTTCGAATGTTGGATTCAGATCCGGTTTTTCTCCTCCACCTTCATAAAAAAAGGAGAAAATCTAGACTTGTAATCATCATGAAACAAATGATGGAAGGGGGAAAAAAATACTTTTCATAGAAAAATGTATTAAATTTAATTAAGTTCTAGAATTAAGAAAGCAAAAATTTCCCCTTCAGGCTTTGTATGTTCTTCGAAGAAAACCACATGAATGAAGATCCCTTTTTAATTGAAATTTGTATTTTGTCTAAGTTGGAAAGTTTTAGATTCTTTTTGTTTGAACGATTAAAAATGTTAACACCACATGCTTAGTATTATTTGGAAAAAAAGCCAACAATGATGCACAACCAACTTTTTTTAAACGTTATTAGAAACGGCAGTGTTGTTTGGCCTTAACCTTATATTGAGCTGTGACAAACATATATCCATTGCCCATTAAACATCTATTTCACTTCGTCAGATGCCGATGTTGCAAGTACAATGGACCAATTGTACAATTTCCCCTCCACCTTCATAACAGTTTACTGCCATGTTAAGTTATTTTATGTGAGAGGCCTAGCGAGGTCTATAGAAAATTACAAAAGGATGACTATTGGGGTCGAGACTGCATGAATAATGAAAAGGAAAGCATGTATTATCCCGTCGCCACTTCTTTGTTTGTGTACAAAGTCTATGGAGAGTTGAGTGCATTTTCAACATATTTTTTTAACGAAATTGGAAATGTCTTCTAGGGCAAAATTCATGCCTATTCAACAGTTTTGCAAGGACTGATCTTCATTGAATAATATACAATGAAAAAGTGGCGTCAGGATGGAACATTCTTTCTGTAACTGATCCATGGTGTGAGGGCAACATGTACACAGACAATCACAAAACAAATGTACAAACTATGATGTAGGACAATCGCCCCCCCCCCCCCCAAAAAAAATGAATAAATAAATGAAACAAATAAATACAAATTAAAAATAAAATATTAAATAAATGTTTGTTTAACTAAATGAGCTTACCCGTTCTGTTACATTCTCTATGGTATGACCGTGCTTGACTGGTGATGGTTTGCCACTTCTTTCTAATTTTTTTCCATGGTCGCTCCACCCCTCCATTTTCCACCAATACTCTCCCTGCCATTTTCCAGTAGTGGATTTTAACCTTTTCCACATTGGCTGTGGATTTGCTGCTCGTGCCCATCAGCTGGTGCTTGTAGGCCCGCACAAATTCGCTCAACACTTTGATTTCTTCGTGAGACCAATTACTGGCCCTAGACCTCCCCGTCCCCCCACTTTCGTTGACGTTCATGCTGCTGCACGTTGCCGTTGGCTCCATGTGTACGTACACAAGTACACGGTACACCACAGACGCATTCGATGTTGCGACTCAAAATGCGTTTTTACAACCCCCAAAAATGACCTCGTTGTGTAACTTGTACAATGCAAAGAACCAAAATTGACCAATTTCCCTAGTTACGTTTATACTTACGTGTTAAACGAGCTAGCAGACGTTTTTTTAGCAGACGAATTTTTCACTCCAAAACAACCGCCAATCAGCCATCTTGATTTTACTGCAAGCGCGTGTACATTTCCGACGGCTGTTGCATGAAAATGCCGAAGATGCATAAAAATGCCAAATCGAACATGATACAGCCGTAGCACGCAAAAGGTCATCCTCGTTCAATAATTAGCGGTTTGTAAAACTGTATTTCGGATGCGTCTTCCTTAAGATGCGTTTGGTGAAATCGATCTTTGGACGCGTCTTAGCTAGGATCGATCTTAGAGGGGGGACTCGTCCTAAGTCCTAAGATAAGTTGTAAGATAAGACGAGTTTCGTGAAATCGGCTGCTGGAATACTGCAGTTGAAGTTTCAAAGTAGCTATACAGTCCACTGCGAGCTTGTTTTCCTTTAAAACTGCATCATACGTCCGCCATTTTGTTCTACGCTTTAAAAACTTTTCAAGAGGAGATTCGATGACTATTTGCTGAATATCAGACGACTATTTACTGTACGTTGAATACATACATATAACAGTCACTGTGTTGTGTTATAAATACACCTACAACGAGTCGCACTTATGATGTAGTTTGTGAAATGAATCGCAGGACTCGTCACAGCTGTGACACATCGTAGTTACGATGAGTTTCATGAAATAGGGTGCTGATCTGTCAAAACATGTAAAACTTACTTCATCTTTGGGCTGAGTAGAGTATTGTGGTCTGGGGCCATTGAACTCATGTTCTATGGGTAAATCTGCAGGTTTTGGGTTCGAGCCCAGCCTGGGGTTATGGTGCGTGTGCCCGTGGGCAAGGCACTTTGTCACTCGTTGCTTCTCCCCACCCAGGAGTCAATGGGTACCTATGAGGGCAGAGATGGTTATTGCAAATAAAATTATTTTCCTACCGGTACCTACCCAGCTGCATGATTTTTTAGGGCTTTACCATAAACCTAAAATTTTGGCCTAACAGTAAAGTTGCTATTTTTCCCTAATGTTTTTGCCCCTGCACAGAATTCTGTCAAGCAGACCAGAACTCAGAATTTACTGAGCACGGTCCTGTCTGAGGTTTCTCCCAGCACAGCTTGCTTCCTGGACCCACGCATGGCAGTCACTCAAATCCTACCATTACTACTCATCATACTACAGCCGACATTCAGACCGGTAAGTTATCAATATGCATTTCTTTTGTCCACAAAGCAATCATCAAACTATTATTTAGATGCATGGTTGTAGTCGAGTAGATTTCCATGAGTGCGAGTACAGTTGGCTTGCCATGAGTACAAATCAACACGTTGAACACTGATATTACATTATCAGCACTGACTGATTTCTGTAGTATCTCTTCTACCCAAGGCCCCCCCCCCAAAAAAAGGCTCCGGTTTCTGGTAAGCGCTCCTTGCCGTATCCGTGCGCGTCGGCAATATTAAAAAGTTTTTGTTTCAATGTAAGATGATGTCTCCAAACCTCCAAACTCACTGGTTTGACTGGAATCCTGCTGCCGCACAATTTTAACGTGTTTTTAGATGGGGTTACGATCGAGTATAAGCTTTATGTGGCCTCTCTGGGCTCCCATATGTTTTGCACTAAATTTAGTCGGGCACCATTTGCCGTCATCAGCCGACATGTGAAGAAAAAAAAGTAAAAAAAAAAAAAAAGCTGCGTTGCCGCACCACTTTTTGGGCAAGCTCCATACCAGAAACTGAAGACTTTTTTTTTTGCCCAAGACTTATACAACAAATTCTCAACTAAATTCTCCAGTTTGAATTTCTTTTCCTTTTTTGTCTTCTCGTTTATTTTAAAAAGGTGAACACCCAGTTATTCAATGCTCAAGAGAAACGTCAGATGAAGGAACTGATCAACAGCATGATAGCCTACAATCTAACCTACAACCAGGAACGCAGCGCTGAGGGGCAGTACAACTATGTCCTAGATCCGTACGTATACACCACGACTGATATGGAACCATCCCGGGCAATAGAATGTACACATACAGTGAAATCTCCGTGGTTCGTGACATCCTTCAAACATGGACAATAACAATCAACACGGTCACCGCGTTCTGGACGGATGTAGTAATGCATAATTCATGACTTCATTGATATAAGAACAGCGCACTTTCCACGCCTGCCTCATTAACTTGCCTTCGCCTGAGTGATTTCACTACGGTGAAAACGCGTTTTGTACGGTCGTTAGCAACCCGGTCAAAACGCGGTGGCCTGAACGGTCAAAACGCGGCGATCTTTATGAGAAGCAGCCTAAGTCAAACCTCAAGGGAACAGGTTCAAAATGTGACTTAAGCAGAGTTTTGAGTTAAGCAGGGTTGTATATCATTGTTATACTACTGAAGGGAATGGATTCTTGTTTGACTTTTAATAACAGTTGTTTTGAGTTATCAGAGTTTGACTTATCAAGATTTCACTGTATTTTGAATAAGTGTAAAAATCATGGAATAAAAGAGTATTTTAGGGAAAAACAATTAAAAGGCCTTTTTCTCAGTATTTTACTTTTTTGACATGTTGATAAATGCAAACTTTAAACAGCCATACATTTAACTTGTCAACGGAATGGCCAATTGAATTGCAACAAACGGTATTGTAAGGAGAAGTTTGTTCTCTTTCCTAATACCCGCAAATCCTCATTTGTGCCCAGTTCTGTCTCATTTTGCCAGAACATATCGTCACCGTTTTCACAAAGAGACACATATGTCAACAATTATTATTTTTTTGATTTTACATTTTTTTTCACTTTTTTGCTTTAAAACATCGTACTTAACCATTTTGACATGTTTCTGTAAACATAACATCATTAGTTTCCAAATTGCATTAATGATGCAAGGGGCAGAAACCTCGATAATTGCATTTGCGTTTTCACGAAGAGCCACATACATTTTGGCCCCTTGAACGCATACAAAACCTATTGCATGGAAAGGGGTAAAAGTAGGTCAACTGAGGTTTTCGTTTTCACGAAAAGCTACATATCTTGTTACATTCTCAGCTGCTTCCATATGGAAAAACTCATTGAACAGAAAGGGCAAAAATGTAGGGGACGTGAATTTTCGTTTTCACGAAGAGACACAAATCTTTACTAATTAATTTTCACTAATTATCTATTGTATTAATTCTAATTACTGGGTTCACGTAAAAATTCAGCTCTCACAGAATTATGTGAAGGTTTCCTTACCGCATAAAGTTGTTGCAAAGTAGTATTTTTCTTCAAAATCCACATATGGGCGTTCATTAAGTGATAGCTGACTTGCGAATTTCCCAAATTCAAATCCTCAATATTGCACTCTGGACTTTTTCTTGTCACATCTAATTTCGGAGTTGCTTCGTCATCATAGATATACCTCTGTATGTTGAAATAAATCTGTGTTGACTTTCTTCATGTGTCTCGTCCATTTCAGAAACCTTGACTCTGTTGTGAGGTTCAGCAGCACGCCACCCACCAAACAGATGACTTATGCGGCCAAGCAACTCATAGCTAGAGAAGTAAGCCAACGTTAAATTATTGTTCTTTCTTAAACTCTTGACTACAAGCAATTTAGTGACAAATTTAGTCCTCAAAATACAGAAAATATAACCTGCCCTTACTCTCTGTGTGGCCTAGTGGTTAGAGTGCGTGACTCATGATCAGAGGGTCAGGGGTTCAAATCCAGCTGCTGGCCATATGTTGTGTCCTTGGGCAAGCCACTTCATCCCCACATGCCTCTCTCCACCCAGGAGTATTAATGGGTACCGGCATTAGTTTGGGTGTATCCGGCATCCCATCCAGGGGGAATAGAAATATCCTCAGTCGTTTCATGCCGAGGAAACCGGAGATAAACGCCAGTCCGATGGGCTATCCGCTCCGTTCACAAGTACCCCCTCACAGGCAAAGAAAGTACAGTTGGGGGTGACCGAACGACGCCATCTTGCCTGACTGCAATTTTGCCGGGAAGCGCGGCCACTGCGTGTACATAGTACAAATCCCCTGGTGTACGTGCGTCACACACAAGGAACGGTGCGCGTCAACCAGCGAAATGTATGTGTCCCGCCCATGGGACATCATTGCTAGGTAAAAGGGCGCCCTCGTTTGTTGGCGCATGGAGCCCATACTGGCTCGTGATAGACCTTTCTTTTACTTACTCTCTCAAAAGTTACATTCTCATTACTGTATTATTCAATTATAGGTTCATATTTGTTAAAACTCTGACATGAAAATATGCATTGTTTCCAATTTGTTGTTTCTTTTTTTTTTTAGATCACTTTGGAGAAAATGAGACGCAGTGAAGCAGCAGTTGGCGGCAAAAATAGGTACGTAGTATCAAATTCCACACCTTCATGAAAATTCTGACAATTTAGCCTGCTTCTTGTCCGATTGATAGCAATGCCATGCCTCAGCATGTCAAACCTATGGAAACTTTTATTTCAACTTGGGAACCTATTTTTTTTAAAGTAACCTTTATAACCAATAAAACCTATATTTTTTATTCTTCAATTCATTGGAAAAAAAAAAAGGATATTTTAAAAATCAATTTGTCCCACAGTTTAGTTATGATGCCAAAAGAACCACAGTCAATAATCATGATGCCAAAATAACCACATTGTCAATAAAGCCCTCTTCAGGCATGCAACTTTTCCTCGGATCCGCTGATTTCCTTGTTTTCATTACTTCTCATGAATGCCATTACAAATTGAAAAACACTGTACAAAGTCTGGTGTGGTTTGGAATTTTCCTCGTTTTTCTAAATTCTCAGTTGCATGCCTGCCTCTTAGATTTTCTTACAAGTGTTTGAAATGAGCTCTTCACTGTATTTCTTCTCCCTCATGCTGAAAAATTGCACCCTAAAAACCTATAAATGCCTATTTCTTGGTACCTGGAAGACCTTTAAAAACTTATATTTTGATTTTCATAAACCTATTTTAATGCCTATGTAGATGAAGAGGGGCACTGTGAAGTCGGCAATGCCGATTTTATTATTTTATTTTTTTTAATGGTGACTTAAAAGGTAATATACAACATTTACTTTTGCTGTAATTTTCAGAAGTGGACGGATTGGGGATAAGTATTTTATAGCAAATATTGTAACACTGGCCTGAAGTCTGGTTCCCTGACCCTACTTCAGATGAAACAGAGCAATTTATAGATGTCTAGGAATTGTCAGGTCAGGGAACCATATTAGCTGGCGTGCACCCGTTCACGGGTGTGTAACCGATTGCAGACAAAATGTGGGCTAACTAACTACATTTGGTAAATTGGGGGCAGTATTTGAAAAAAGTCAAAGTTTTTCAACAATGGTTGGCCGACCATCGTTGGAAACTGATACAAAAATTCCACTTTTCTTTCAAAATGACAGCACACCAGGTGCCATGATTTCACAGGATGCTTGCGACTATTTTTCACTTTCAGTCAACTAAGGTATTTCATAATAATTTGGTAGTTGTGGTTTTTTGATGTTTGCAAATGTTGTATATTACCTTTAAAGAGATATGAAGAAGGGAAGTAAACCGTCTGCACCAGCGAAGAAAGTTGGACCATCGGCTCAGTCCAAAGTCCCACGACACTTGGAGAAACTACAGCCCAAGAAAGTCCAGGATGAACCTGAAAAGGTACAACATATTGCTCTTCAAAAATCATCCTTTTGTTTTTGATTCTTTAATTATATGTGAGGCGTTCTGGCAAAATGATACGAACTAGGCAGATGTCAAAATGAGGGTTTGCAGGTATTTGGACAGAGAATAAAATTCTCGTTACAATACTGTTTGTTGCACTTCAATCGGACATTCCGTTGACAACTTGTGGCTGTTTAAGCTTTGCATTTATCGACATGTCAAGAAAGTAAAATGCTCAGGCATGCAATTTTTCCTAGGATCAGCTAATTTCCTCGTTTTTTTACTTCTCATGAATGCCATTACAAATTGAAAAATACTGTTCATAACCTTTTGTGGTTTGGAGTGTCCTCGTTTTTTTTCTAAATTCCCAGTTGCATCCCTGAATACATAGCTGCCAACTGTTACGAAAAAAGCGTAATTGTTACGAATTAATGAAAAAAATACGAAATTACGAAATTGCTCTTGAAAGTTACGAATTCGACAATGTCCGCCCCAGTTTTTGATTTGACAACCGAATTCACGGAATTCGGATTTGGATCGATTCTTTTTTGTCATGTACTCACATTGATTTCATTGGAAATAAAACCGAAACGTTGAAAAACATGGAATCGATACTTTTTCTCTTGTACTTGCGTTGTTTCTAATGCGAACAAAACAGAAACACTCACACGTCGGTTAGTAGTATCGATACTATTACGTTCTTTTCATTGCAAAACCGAAATACAGAAGAATAACTGAGTGTAGATTTGAAATCAAGTCCTTGGATACTGTCATTTTTGTCTGCTTACGCCACCGCTATGAACCTGTGCTGCGCAGTTTAACGTTCCGCAATCCAAAGTATCGTAATTGGATTGTTTATACGCACACGCATACTGGGACCGAGGTTGCACTGAATGTTCCCGCACGATGCGCAGGCGGACTAAATCCGATCAATTACGGACTTGTTTTCAAGTCTAATGTGAAGAGCGTTATTGCTGGGCACCAGCGAGTTCGTTTATGTACGTGTGTATAAACACTGGGAACCAGCGTGCGAGTGCCACCGAAAAATCGCCATGTGTATATACCGTACCGCGCTGCGCTGCACCGCGTGTATTTAGGTAGTTGTTGTGCACGTATTTATTTGACGTTCGTAGTTTTCACGGAACAATTTTTCACACTTAATGTTACGTGAGCGACATCACCATGACTACCAAGGCAACCAGAAAGGGTCAGTTTTACGGGAAAAAATACGGACAGGAATTTGATTTCATCACATCGTCAAAAAAGGACAAACAGCATGCGTTCTGCAAGGTATGTAGGCGAGATGTCTCCATCGCACACGGCGGTCGTAATGACATCGTTAAGCACACAAAATCAAAACTGCATGTAGATAGCATGAGCATGAGGACCGAAGCTCATTCAACAATGAAACTGACATCGTGGGCATCCACATCACAAGATTTAAATGTCACACGAGCTGAGTGCTTGTTTACAGCATTTTACTTGGAACACAACATTCCACTCTCTGCAGCTAGTCATGTCGGGCCTTTGTTGAGAAAAGCCTTTCCAAATTCTGAGGAGGTAAAGAAGTTTTCAAGTGCTAGGACCAAAACTACATGTTTGGTGCATGAAATGGCTAAAGATGGTCAGAGCAGAATGATATCGTCTATGAAAGCAAGCCCATTTGCCATTTCCACTGATGGAAGCAACACAAGTAGTAGCAAGCTGTACCCAATCGTCGTCAATTACTATGACAGTGAGGTCAAGCAAGTTGTCTGTTCATTGTTGTCAATGACTGAATTGGAAGATCAGTCAACTGGTGAAAACATTGCAAAACTTCTCATAACAGAATTGAAAAAGCATGATGTGCCATGGCAAAATTGTACCGCATTGGGATCGGACAACGCATCTGTGATGGTTGGTCGTCTGAAAGGAGTTGGGACTTACTTGAAAGAGTGTCAGCCTGAGATAATTGTTCTTGGTTGTCCAAATCATCGGATTGATCTTGCTGCAAAGGCTGCATCATCTGCAATTCCTTTTTCCATTGATTCCCTTCTTATTGATGTGTTTTACTATCTTGAGGCTAGTGTTAACAGGAAGTTGGAATTGAGAAAATTCCAAAAACTATGCGGTAATGAGGTTCAAGCAGTTTTGAAGCATGTTTGCACCCGATGGCTGTTTCTTGGTCAGTGTTTACCACGCTTTCTCAATCAGTGGAATGCACTCCAAATCTTCTTTGAGGAGGAGCAAAAGCCCAAGGGGAAAGGGGCCAAAAAGCAAAGCCCTGCTGACCAAATTTCACCAAACATCCAGGCATTTCGTATTCCAAAGATGTTACCTGGTAGTTCCAACATGACAAGCAAGTCTGCAGATGGTGTGTCCTCGATACTCGCCAGTAAATCTTCGTCCTCCAGCACTCCACCCAGTACATCAAAAGGATCAAGTCCACAAAGACATGCTGCATCTCAAGGAGAAAAACGCCAAGTTGACGGAACAGTTCAGACTTGTAAAAGACAACGGACTGAAAGTGTCAAGACAACCAAGAAACCAAATGTACATCCACCTGTAGCAGCGGCCAGCAAGGTTGGAAAACCGTCGGGATCATCTAAGAAGAAACCAAGTACACCTAAGCCTTCTGTAGCTTCAAGTCATGGCCGAAACACTTCAAAAACTGAAGAGGGGAATGAAGAAACAAGACAGCAAAGGATTGCTACAGCACTACAGTCCAAGTATAAACTTGCCGTAGCACACTTTCTCAGTCAAAGTATATCTGCATTTGACAGAAAAAGTGTCATTCTTCAGACAAGAAGTCCTTATGTACATAAACTGAAAAGAGAACTGGAAGGGCTGTTGCTTGATCTCTACAGCAAATTTGTAGAACCAGAGGCCATTAAAGCTGTCACTGACTTGACATATGTCAACTACAAGAACCCCAAGAATCAAAAAGAAGACAAGGAGCTTGTCATTGGAAGTGAAACAAGAGACATCATGGACAAAGAGTTAGATGACACTGACTGCAAGAAGTTTTTTGCAATGGTGCGTCTGTATTACACAAAGGCTTGTGATTATATTGTCACAAAATTTCCTTTGAAATCTGTTGTTCTTGCACATGCTGAAGTAGCAGATTGTAGTCTGAGAGTGAATGCCAAGTTCTCATCTGTTAAGTATTTCACAGACAAGTTTCCCTGCATGCTGTTTGTTAAAGAAGATGAAACGAAGTACGAGGCTACAGATATACTACAGAGTCAGTTTCTTGCGTATCAACTTGCTGATATTCCAGAGGCAGTACAGAATGAAACAGATTGTGACAAGCAATGGGCAGTACTGGCTGCAGAGAAGGATCCATCTGGGCAGCTATGTTATGACAGACTTGCAAAAGTCATGCTGGGCATCCTCACAATTCCACACAGCAATGCAGAATGTGAACGGGTATTTAGCCAAGTGAGGAAAAACAAGACAGACTTCAGGGGATCGATGAGCACTGATGTACTGTCCTCTGTGCTGATCACAAAAGCTCAACAGAGAGGTCCTTGCTACTCCAGAGACTTTGATGACAAGTTTCTCAGGAGAGCAAAATCGGCAACTTACAGAACCCTCAATGAAAGTGATGCGCGGGTCCTGTAGTAGGTATGTTGCATCCCTTTTATTTTGTTCATGAGATAGTGGTGTTCGTTAAATGACATGTGAAACAAAAATTGTTCTTATAATTAAACAAAAATCCTGCTTAAAAATGTTAAAGGAAAGTGGCCAGAAATGGCCTCAGATTGCACCACAGAGCATCTAGAAACCAAATTTTCCCGGGGCCCTTGGGCGGGCCCCGGACCCCACGCCGAGAATGGCTTCGCGCTACGCGCTCGCCCATGTGGACGCAAATTTGCTTCAAAAATTTGTTCATTACTAATTCAAATTTTGAAATGTTGGCAGCTATGCTGAATACTGAGAAAAAGGCCTTTAAAGTTTTGAGTTTTACATTTGTGAAACGGAAAGATGCCAATTGTTTTGCTTAAAAACGCTTTTATTCCACGATTTGTATACAATATCTTAAAAATATGTGTAGTAGACATAACAAAGATTACAAATATCAATTAATCTGAAAATCGGGGGGAAAAAAACATGCCCATTTTGGTTTGTTGCATTTTTCTCCAATACGTGCTGTGACCAGTCCCGTCTCATTTTGCCAGGACGACTCACATATATTATATAATTATCATTCTTTTATTCTTTCGTTATTTTAAAATTTGTCTGCAGTTTAAATCGAACTCGTACTTTTGTTTTTTACAGCCCACTAGAGATTTCTTTGGCCGTATCATCAAGAAAAAATCGCCGGGGCCTAAGTTAGGTGAGAATTTGTTTTTATAAATTAATAAACACTGTAATTTTTTTCCTCTTCGTGCAACTAATTGCCCTTTGATTCTTTCAAAATCCACTCTGCCATTTTGCAGCATTTGGATGGGGTCCATAAATTTTGCGTCCACTTTTTTTCGTGTCCCTGTTACATTTGATGTATGATTTTGTCAAGTCGGGACACATTCTTTAAAGCCATTTATTTCCAAGAGTAATTACGTAAAGCAAAGTGCCTGTCAAACATTGAAAAAATAGTTTGAAGTCACTTTTAATGATTGACCACATTATAATGACTGTTTAATTTTGAAACTTTTTTTTGAAACCTTTCCTTGACAAAATTCTGCCCATTTGAAGTTCTCTTTAAAGTTTGGGTTTAGCATTTCTTGAAATGACACACCTCTACAAATTCAAAAAGAGGCACATAAAAAAATACCCTTTACAGTATATCTTAAACATATTTAGGATCAGAAATTTACAAAAACTTGGTTGTATCTCATGTCTGGTTTAAACAGAACGTGTCACATGAAAATGTAATTATTTATTATTTTTTTTAATTTGATTTCTTTCTGGTAATGAAACCAAGGATTCCTCAAAAGTACCCTAAGCACTGTATCTTGAAAGCCTGAAGAAACCTATAGTAGTGTAGAGAGAAGTCAATGAGAAGAAATTACAGTTTTAGAGGTGGGAGGAAAAACCCAGAGGAATATTCTGAGGAAAACCCACGGAATCAGGCAGGGACTGAAAACCCAATCCACATATTGGCCCGGGCGGGATTCGAACCCGGGTCACAGCGGTGGAAGGCGAGGAAAGTACTGCTACGCCAACCTGACTCCCCTAAGGTTGGAACTGATATTTCTTTTACATTATTTATTTCAAAATTTCACAGCTGATACAGCAGCCAGCACCGATGGTGTCGATGCCAATAATGACCCCGGATCAAGCCAGAACAGCAAGGCCGAGGCGAGACGAGAACAGCAGGAACAGCTAGCTGGAAAACTGTGGTACAAATTCAACCAAGGATTCACTAACGCCGTGCGCAAGACGGTACGCATTCAAGACTTGCTCTAAAGTTGAACCGCCATACAGTGACATTATAAAGCCTTTTTACACTATCGGTCTCGTCTACCTAGTGTTGAAATCACCACGGGAACTCCGTAAACCGAACCGGGTCCCATCAAATGTTGGTAGGCAAGGCATACCGTTCAAACTACACTGGGCTTTACATGGGTCAGCTGTAGAGTTTGGATTTTCTACCCGGGGTGGAGCCTCTTAATCCTGGCCCTGACCCGCAGCCGATTTCACGAAACAGTGCGTAACTTACGCCGTGCGTAGGACTTGCGCAACAAGTTTATTGCGTAGCTGCACAATAAACTTACGATCGATTTCACGAAACGTTGGGTAGCTGCGCAACGTTTTAAATAATCTAAACATCTTGGACGAGGATAATGACAGCATTTACGACGGCTGTTTGTGTATGATTTTGTTTGTTCATAAAACAGACGTTGAATCACCTCTGCCCGCCATTTTGGAAATACTTCCGTTGGACTTTTTTCGGAATCTTGCGGCAACTCGAAAAAACTGTGTCACAAGTGAAATAGCAGTTTATTTACTTCAAACACAAAGCTGTGAGTATTCTAAGATGGAATTTGCATTGGGGTGACACAAATTCCATCTTATGAACAGTTTGGTTGCGGTACCCGCTGCTACATCAGATTCGAACCAGCCAACCGACCCCAGCTAGCTCGGTGGTTGAGTGGTAAGACGTCTGCACTTGTAAGCAGGAGGTTGTGGGTTCGAGTCCCACCAAGTGATTTTTTCCTCAAAAATCACTTGGGACAACACTGAGTATACAGTGTTTATAAAAAATACATAGGTGAACTGAAGGGCAAAACCTTGTATCAACCTTGATAAGTTGTGCAGCAAAAGGCTCCACAACGGTAAAATAGGTCATTTTTAGTCACAATGCCACAACTTATGCAAACTACAATGATTGCGCAAGTTGCGCCATAATTTGTTGCGCAAGTCATCCCCCCCCCTTTAATTTTCTAGCAAATGTAAATTGAAGAATACTCTTGAATATGTAGCGACATAATTAATGTATATTCATTTCAGAGCCCACAAAAATCCCCATATTATTGTTGACCCCTAACTGTCCATGCATATCATTGTAATCGGAGCATAGGAGTTCGATTTGTGCACGTTCTTATTTTTAAGAAAATGAAAAATACATATTTTTTCTCTTGAAACGTAAAGTAGATTGGAGAAAATCTTCAATGAAATTTGATTTAAAATATCTTAATATCTTTTACATTGGTGAAAAAACGGTAGTCAGTAAAACTGCTAATGTTTAGGACAAAAAGTACTTGATAAATGCAGAGAATAAAAAAAAAGATTTAAAAACGGAGAAATAGTTGTTTGTATCAATTGAGCGGCAAAAGTTCAGAGATAACAGGGAAAAGCCTTTTCACACTACAGCCCGTCAACCCGGGTTGAACTCAACCCTGGGGAAACCTGTGCCACCCCGGGTTGAGTACTATTTTTCAACCCTGCGTTCAACCCTGCATCGTTTCACACTTCAATAAGCTCGGTTACTGCTGTTTTGAACCCCGGTGAGAGTTTCAACCTGGGTGGAAAATCTCAACCCTGGTCTGGAGCAGGGTTGAGTTCAACCTGGGGTGAAATCAATCTCAGGTTGACGCAGGGTTGGCACAGGGCTGAAATTTTTCAAGTGTGAAACCCCACATCAACCTCAAGATTTGTGCGAAAAGGCCAATTATGACCCATACTCAAGCATAGGCGATCTTTTTTTATGCGTGCACAGTTTTTTTCTATTCATTGTCAAAGAGAAGAGGGGGTCTTGTAACTGCACTGACAAACACAGCATATTTAGCTCAGCAAATTTTCCCCGCTTATGATTGTTACACCTACCAGCCATCAGTAGAATTATCACAGCATGTTTTGCTAAGCATTTCTCCTCTCTGCTTAGCAGCCAAGGGTAATTGGCAAGAGTGTCGTGTTTCACTAGCCAGCCATCAGTGTAATTATGCCCAGGCCAGACTAAGCTACCTTGGAGCCCGGCAGCATTTGTCCTGTCACTCAACACTCTGACTCACAAAGGGGTTGCTGGGGACTCAACGAAATCCCTTGACATGTCTGTTTATGAACAGAGCATAGGTCTTTTCCGCTTTTCCCCTTTTTTCAGTTTAAAGGGAATATACATCATTTGCTTTTGCTGTAATTTTCAGAAATGGATGGAATTGGGGGGTTGGAAATATATAGCAAATATAGTTACACTGACTTTTTTGAGGTTTTGGGTTCGAAAATGCTATAAAAACCAAGAAAAACTATCATTTTCCTGTAGTCTGGTTCCCTGACTCCATATAAGAAGAAACAGAGCAGTTTACATACATTGGGGAATTGTAAGGTCAGGGAACCAGTCTAGCTGGCTCGTACCCGTTCATAGGTTTGTGATAGATTGCAAACAAGTGCGAAGGTCAATTGGGGCCAGTATTTGAAAAAAAAGTCAGTTGTTTCCAACGCTGATCGGCCGATCAGCGTTGGAAATTGATACCAAAATACCACTTTTCTTGAAAATGACAGTATACCAGGTGCCATGATTTTACAGGATGCTTTACACTGTCATTCACTAACAGTCCAGCAAGGTATTGTCATGTAAAGATAGTGATACATTACCTATTATTAAGGACAGATATTTACTCCATGTATATAATTCAAAATGTATCTGGTCTGTCTGATTTCAGATGACAAATTTTGCAAGTAGAAAAAACAAAAATGTTTCTTTTACAAATATACAATAATAAATGACAGTTTATATAGCACCAAAGTCCGCCTAAGAGACGCTGGAGGCGTTTCATTTACAAAAAAAACCCAACATTTGATGAGTGCTGTAATTATGGTGTCACCTTGTACATTATACTGCCTTTTTATTAACACGTTCTTTTAATTTGTACCTACCAAGTTTCACGACGACCGTATCTCAATGCCTCTGAATGTGGATCAAGTCAAAAAATAATTAGAATCGCTACAAGGCACAGAGCATGTGGTTTTTATTTCATGTCAAATGAAGTATAAAACCTTATGCCTATATCATCCAGATTCGTCTAGGTTTTTTTTAGTAACGAAAGTGATGAGAAACATCAGATGGTAACACTTCACCAAATGATTATCAAACAGAAACGTGGGGGGATTTGCCATTTTTGTATTGAAATGTAGCCATATTTTACAACTGTATTTTAATTAGTCTGGTTACTAACACAGGATTATTAAGTCTGGTATTGATTTCTGGGTTTCTAGTTTTCGTGTAATTTCCAATGTTAAGATTTTTGGGCAGTTTTCTCTGAAAAAAAAAATTCAAAGAAACTAGAGACATCTTGAAATGCCCAACCTATAATTTTCTTGTGTTAGTAACCAGGTAATTGTGTCAATCCAAACCAAACATAAAGTTGTAAAACAGTCAATATTTCAATGCTCAAAAATGCACATTTTTCAATCAGTGGCAGTGGGGCTCAGTATACAGTATCTGATGAGTCCCATTTAATTAATGAGGCTGAGAGATCACTCCAAGTCCTGGTCCTGTGTGTTTTCTGTGAAGTCTTACTATATTGTTGGACTACCATTCGAAGGGAGGCGTTGCTGAGGGGAACGCCCCCTCTTTCCACCAGACATTATTGTCGAAATGCATTGAGCATTGTTCAGGTCCCCCCACCCCCTCCAAATTATACATCAATTGCCACGCATAATACATTCGATCGTGCCGTGGTTCGTTATTGGAAACACGTCTGTCTGGTGTACGGACCCCTGGGAGTTGCCATGGTGTTTCGTACATAGGCTGTGTCTAATGGAGCGTGAGTTGCCATCAAAGGGGAACCCGATACCAGGCTATATTAAATTTGAAGGCTGCTCATTCAAATAAAGTTTTAATGCCATTTTTTTGTCATTCAATGCTGATTCAACCAGTGTTGAAGTACTCGTTATACTCGTACTCATGAGAATGTACTCGTTCCGTACTCGCAAGAAAAACATTACTCGCACTCGTGCTACATGCAGAATTTTTTTAAGAAAATGGTCCTGACATTTGGGTTTCCATTTTTTTTTTACTCGCCCTGTATATATTTATATATTTTTTCTTGATATTACAGTTACATTATATTATCGCACCCAAGCCTTTTTTACCGAAGATTTCTTAATTTGTTGACTACAAAATGTCATTAAAATAGGACAGTATCCATATCCCAAATAATTACAAATTAGGTCATACATCGTAATAGACCAAAACAACACGGCCGGCCACCATATGTCTCGTAATTTATCGGTGCTGATAGGTGTCTTTCCGTTTGCGCTAGATAGCGCATGTTGTGATAAAGACACCGTAGAATATTATTAGTGCATTGCAAAGTCCTCATTTCGACTGAGCTGACATTTGTGATTTGCGGCATACACATGAATTATAATTAGAGTCTGTGATAAGAGTCTAGATATGAAAAAGACAATTAAAGCTACAGTCCATCATTTGTAATTGGTGCATTTTGTTCGTTTGAAGCAACAAAAGAGTTCAAAATCTAATGAAGGATACTGAGCAGCTAACCTGATGAAGTTTCAGCTAAGCTTCAGCTGTACATTCCGAGAAAAACAGCATTCTAAGATCTCAATTTCAAATCAAAAGTTACTGAATCATGTTTTAATTGCAGCTATACGCGACGAAGCGCACTGATCCGACGAATTATAACAACCGCGCGCGCGTGTGCGTCGTTCCAATACTTGTGCGCGCTGCGCTGAATAACAAAACGAACGACTAATTTAAATTTTCCTACGGTGCTTCTTAAGAATCACCGTTGGAAATGCCTTCTTTCGTTAATTACTTCAAAATGACAGCTTCCCAGAAAGAATAATTTCACAGGGAGTTTAGTTCCCTTACTATCTTTCAACCAAGTTTGTTTTTCAACAATAATTACGCCAGTTACTTTTCGGATGGCTGCAAATGATGGACTATAGCTTTAAACCTTTTCGATATTCGTAATGCATATTGGTTCTGGATGACAAATTTGCAGACCAGGCAATTTTGTGCACAAACCTATGGGGCTGTAAACCAGTTACAACATGCATTGGATTCCTCAAGAATTAAGTGCTTATTTTTTCACACTTTGTTGCATTGGTAATTTGAAATATATTTATTTTAAAAATCATTTTAAAGCCTTTTATTACAATGAAGAAACTTTTGGGGTATCTCTTTTTAGAGACCAGTTTCATTACTCATGAATATTTATCGTGATCCTGCCAATATTGACCAATCAGAATCAAGATGTTAAGCTCACGCATCCAACACTGACCAATCATAATTGTTCCTCTGGGCCTGATTATTGGTACCTGGAAATAAATTTAGGCTGAAAAACACTTCTTATTTTTATTTCTAAAGTCTAAAAACTGACTTTTGAACTCTAGTTTGAACTTCGCAGTGAAAAGGCACAAAGCCGACAGATGTTAAGCCAGAACAAAATGAAATTGTTTAAAAAGCCTGAATGTAAAATATTTAAATAGACAAAAATCCTCTTATGCGTAATATTTCGTTTGACAAAGTTTACCAAGCAAAAATGAATGTTTCAAATTTTAAAATAAAAACACAGTAATATATTTTTTTTTTGTACCAAAGTCTCAAGCTCTTCCCAAATATGCAGGTTTTGAA